AGCGTACGTCAAGATTCATCACGCTGGACACTCTGGCAGCCGTGTCGCTGCCTATCTCGAGTCGCGGTGCGGATCATGGCCCGGTGTACCTTCAGCGCCCATGTGCGATCAAGCGCGACACGGGCCGCGTCCCAATGACCGGACAACCTTCTGCCAATCACATGCCGCACCGCGCTCTGCCGATGTGCGCGTGTACCGCTCATCCTCCGGCGTCCTGCTACACCGCTGTGTCGCGAGCAGCGTACTCAGGCGCGTAGTGGCGACAACCAGCGCGCCACTGCCGCATCATCCGCACACTACCGGATGTTATACAGATGCGACTATTGCTCTGATATTTCACACTTCGAGTCTGAGTGAGCGCCGTTCGGCAGCGCTGGGCACCAATGCTAATCGCGCTCTCCTCTGTAAATCAGCCCTCTTGTAGAGATTGACGAAAGTCGCGCGGCACTGCCTGCTCTTGTCCCCGTATCCAGACGTGATGCCGCGCGTGTCCAGTCGCATGACGCGCCTATTCGCTCGTCTGCTCGTATATCCTGCTGCCATACCTATCTACCCACTGCCACACTGTTTCGTTGAACCCGTCGCGCCCTAAGTCATGGCGAGTTACGCCTTCACCCGCGAGCATTCGCTCCACAACCACCTGCGTAGCGATACCCGCGTGGTCCGAGCCGGGTAGATATAACGCGGGGTTGCCCTTCATTCGATGCCAGCGCACCATCAGGTCCTCAAGCGCAATCGTAAGCGCGTGCCCCATGTGCAACTCGCCGGTAACATTGGGCGGTGGCATGATAACCGTGAACGGCTCGCGTTCATGGTCGATCTCCGGCGTAAAATATCCGCCATCAGACCAGAAGTCGTAGATGCGCTGCTCGACGCTCTGCGGCTCGTATGCTCGTGGAATCTCGCTCAAAGGCTTAGCCTGTGCCATATATTTCAATCCTCAAGTAACCGCTGGACATGATCCTGTCCATCCTGTCTATCGATGCCTGATTCTGCCTTATCCGCTATAAATGTACTGGCCCCCGACCTTGTCGCAATTCAACCGTCTGTTCAGGTGCAGCCCCTCCAGTATGAATTCCACCGCTGAAGCGATAGCTGCGGCGTCCTCGGTCTCTTCGATGTCGTTTATCAGCTCAGTCGCCTCACCCATGTGTGCGTAGCTACGAAGATAGTCAGAAGAAGGTACATCGCTTCCCGTCTCAATTGTCAGCCCTTCCTCAAATCGCTGCGTAAGATCCGCGAACTGGCGCGCCTGGTAATAGCGTCCGAATGTGTTCAGCACAGCCTTTTTCACAAGATCGTCGATTACTCGAAACTCGCGCCCCTCTTCCACGCTCTCCATCTCAATTTTGCCGGTGGTGGAAGCAACAATGGCAGGCAGGTCGCTGACTCGTGGCGATGCGGGCTCACCGTGCCGTAGGCTGCGCTTGAATGCCGCGCTCAGAATCGTCTCATAGTTGGCAATGGACACTCGCAGGCTGACGCCCGAACGCTGGTTGATATCTGGGCTACGCCGTGCCAGAGCCGTTATCTCTGCGATAATTTCCTTCATGTAATGCGGCACTTTAACGCTGCTATGCGTATCTCGAAGTTTGCATACTCCTGCTCCCAATACATACTCTTCGTCCAGTGACGCGGGTAGTGCGTCCGAATCTGCGCCCCGTACCTGTCCTCAATGGCGTGATGATACGTCCGCGGTTCGTGTAGTCCTCGGGGTTCGCTGTCGATATCAAAAAGACATCGAGCGGCAGCATAATGCGGTAGCCCTTAATCTGGATGTCCCGCTCCTGCATCAGGTGAACAGGCTCACCTGTATGCGCTCCGACAGGTCGGGCAATTCGTTGATGCAGAATATTCCTCGGTTGGTGCGCGGTATCAGACCGTAGTGTATCGTCAGCTCGTCCGAAAGATAGCGCCCCTCAGCCACCTTGATTGGGTCAACTTCGCCTATCAGGTCAGCGACGGTGATGTCGGGAGTCGCCAGCTTTTCGCTATATCGCTCATCCCGATGCAGCCAGCGCACCTTCGCTTCATCGCCTTCCGCACCGAGCGTAACTTTGCATTCCGCACAAATAGGCTCTATGGGATCGCAGTTAAGCTCGCACCTGTCCATAACAGGCACTCTTCGTCGAGCAGCGACACCATGTGCCGAATCAGCCGTGACTTCGCCTGCCCACGCTCGCCTAGCAGGATAATGTCCTGCCCAGCGAGAATCGCGTTCTCCAACTGCGGTATGACCGAATCCTCAAAGCCGACAATACCGGGGAAAAGTTCGTCGCCGTTCTGGATCTTAACAATGAGATTATTGCGTATCTCTTCGCGTATAGTCAGGGGCTTGTAGCCGCTCGCTCGCAGTTCACCAAGTGTCTTAGCCTTGCCGGGCATAGTCGCTCTCCCATCCCCTTGTTTTCAAAGCATGCTCTGCATGCTGCTGTAATACAGCAAGATCGTAGCCACCAGACCACGATGAACACAACAATAATAACAGACATTCGCCGCCACTGGCACACCGACCAGCCGACAAACTGATATACTGGTAGCTACGATGCAAAACTATATCTGCAAGACATGCGGCGTCGAATTCACCGAGAGTGAGACGCCTCCGCCGAATTGCCCCATTGCGATGACCCGCGCCAGTACATCGGCTGGGACGGACAGCAGTGGACCACGATGGATGAGCTGAAGGCGCAAGGTTACGCCAATGAAGTCCGGGACCTTGAACCCGGTCTTACCGGTATCGGCATAGTGCCTTCGTTCTCTATTGGACAGCGCGCCCTGCTGCTGCAGACGCCTGCCGGCAATGTACTCTACGACTGCATCAGCCTGCTCGACGACAGCGCAATCGCAGCCATACAGGCGCGTGGCGGTATACAGGCTATCTGCTTTTCGCACCCGCACTTCTACGACAGCATGGTTTCGTGGAGCCTTGCGTTCGACGACGCGACCATCATCGTTCCGGAAGCCGACCGCGAACACGTAATGCGCCCGCACGCGAACATCCAATACTGGGACGGACAGCCCCTTGAGGTAATGCCCGGCGCAACCCTGATCCAGTGTGGCGGTCACTTTGAAGGCAGCGCGGTGCTGCATTGGGCAGACGGAGCGGACGGCAAGGGGGCGCTTTTCGTTGGCGATTCCATCACCGTCGTTCCAGACCGCCGGTTCGTCAGTTTCATGACAAGCTACCCCAACCTCATACCCCTGTCAGCCTCGGAGATTGAACAACATCGTAGCCGCTGTGGAGCCTTACGACTTCGACCGCATATACGGCGGGTGGTGGGGCCGCAATGTAACGCACGGGGGCAAGGAAGCAGTCCGACGCTCGGCCTTCCGCTACATCGAACATATCCAAGGGTAGGCGAAAATCAAGGAGGCAGCGAGTCCTACTCACGCCGCCTGTATATTTCCAATCCCGCGTACGACAGGATACTGCCCCTGATCGCCACCTCAGGCTTCTTGATCGTAACTCTAACTGCGCTCACATTAAGTGTCTCGAGAATCTGCCCTGCGATATCCTCTGCAACGCTCTCTATCAAGTCTTTGCTTTCGCCTTCCATAACTGCTTTCACGATTTCGTAGGCGGGAACATAGTCCACCGCATCCGCCAGGTCGTCGGAAAGGCCGGCGGCGCGTGCATCGCATTCCATCGTTACATCCACAATGAAACGCTGCCCCAGCGCCTTCTCGTGCGGACTCACACCATGATGCCCATAAAATGCAAGCCCCTTCAGCAGGATCTTGTCGGTCTGTCTGTTAGATGAATCTCCCATTTCTGCGTCCTATTTATCTCTTATTTCTTTCAGCGTGCCGAGTCAGCCACTGTCCCTCATAGATTCAGCCAGTTCTAGAACCGCCTGCGCTCTTTTTACCACCGGCACATCCACCACCTTCCCGTCCAGCGATGTCGAGCCGCGACCTCGGCGAGCCGCCTCATCGAACGCCTCCACCACTCGCTGCGCCTGCTCAATTTCAGTGGCGGATGGCGAAAAGGTTTCGTTGATGATGTCAATCTGGGCCGGGTGAATGGCGAATTTGCCCTTAAATCCGTACTGCCTCGCGACGCTCGCATTCTCGCTCAGCCCGTCAGAATCGCGGAAGCTGAAGTATGGAGTGTCCAGCGCCAACACATCAGCGGCCCGCGCCGCCACCGCGATGCTGTTGCGCGCGAAATAGGTCTCCGTTTCCGACTCCGTCCGCTCGACGCCCATGTCGTTCGTGAAGTCCTCTGCGCCAAACGCCACGCCCACTATACGCGGAGACGCCTTGCATATCTCATACAGATGAACTATCGCCATCGCAGTTTCTATCCACGGCACCAGTCTCACGCTGCCGACTTCAATTCCTGCCTTGCGCTCCAATGCTTCCAGCTTTTCCGAAATATTTGCAATGTCTGCCGGCGTTTCAATCTTACCCACCGAAACGCCGAATATATGCTCCCCCACAACCGACGCCAAGTCATCGTCTAGCAAGTCCGTATCCAGCGAATTTACCCGGGGAATCACTGGAGTGCCACCTGACCCGAGTTGAGCAAGATATGACGACGTAACCTCGCGCGCATTCGCTTTTTCGTCGATCGGTACAGAGTCCTCCATATCCGGTATGAAGGCATCCGGCTTCAGTTTGGACGCTCGCTCCAGCATCCGAGGCTGGTTTCCCGGCACAAACAACAGGCTTCTCAACACAGCCATTCCTTCGCCTCCTAAACCGACGTGCTCGTAGTCTATCTTGCTGATATACTGACATACCAATTGGCTAGTCCCAGCAGCACATCCATGTTAGCCTTCGTTTCGGAGAACGCAAGCATGAACAACGTCCCAAGACTGGAAGTCCTCGGAATTACCGGCATCCCGGAAATAATCGGCGGTGAGTCGCTGGGAACTTTGATGGCAGACGCCGCGCGGGATCAAGGCACTCCCTTGCAGACTGGCGATGTCCTCGTCGTAACGCAGAAGATAGTGTCCAAGGCAGAGCACAGACTTTTCGATCTCAACAAAATCCAGCCCTCTCCGCTCGCCCTGAACTTCGCAAAAGAGACGCACAAGGACCCTCGCCTCGTCGAGCTTGTGCTGCGCGAAAGCCGAGCCGTCGTGCGCATGGACTCCGAACGCGGCATCATCATCAGCGAGACACGGCATGGCTTCGTCTGCGCCAACGCAGGCATAGATAACTCGAACGTCCCCGGCGACGACATCGTCTGCCTGCTCCCTGAAGACTCCGATCGTTCAGCGCGCGAAATCCGAGACGAAATCAGACGCCATACTGGCGGCACGGATGTGGCGATTATAATCTCCGATACATTCGGACGCGCCTGGCGGGACGGCCACGCCAACATCGCCATCGGCGTCGCGGGCATGAACCCCGTAAAGGACTATCGAGGCACCCTCGATGTCAATGGAATGGTCCTGAAGGTAACTACCATCGCAGCGGCAGACGAACTCGCGGCCGCCGCCGAACTCCTAAACCGCCCCCCACCACCCAAACCCCACACAAAAAAAAAAAAACAAAAAACCCCAACAACAAAAAAACCCCCAAAAAAACCCCACACAAAAAAAAAAAAAAAAAAAACCCCCAAAAAAACCACACAACACCACACCCCCCCCCCAAAAAAAAAACAAACCAAAACCCCCCCCCCCCACCCCCCCCCAACACCACACCCCCCACAACCACCCCCCCCCCCCCAAAAAAACAAAACACCCCCCCCCCCCACCCCCCCAAACAAGGCGATCCAGGTCCCCGTAGCCCTCATTCGCGGCTACGAATACGAACCCATGGAAGACGCAACCATCGCCCCCCTAATCCGCGAACGCTCAAAGGACATGTTCAGGTAACTCACCTCACCCAATCCAATCCATCGCTAGCAGCGCTCTAAACTGGCCACTCCTCCATACGCCACGCTGCATCCCAGAACATGTACTCATACCGGCTGCTCACCACAAACGCCTCACGCATGCGCTCCAATTCAGCCTCTCCGCAGCCTTCGGCGATGCGGTCCAGAATCCCCGAAGCCACGACGCAAGCTCCGCAAACTCCGGCGAGTTATACATTTGGATCCAGCGAGCATACAGCGGCGCGTCCTCCGGTATGCCCCGGTCATACAACATCTGCCCGACTCGCTGTAACCCCACATGCACGGCAAGATGGAACTCGAAATCTCGCCGATGCTCCCCCTGAAGGCGATCTGCAGAAGGTGGCGGGTATAAGCCTGTGTAGTAGGCGAAGGGCGTCGCCAGCAGTTCGTTTCGCTGATCCCGAAGTCTTCGCAGAAACTCACATGCAGCGACATCTCAGTATTCAGCGTCTCGTCCAGCAGCTTGGCGAACCACCCCATATCCTCAACATCCTGTGTCTTGGCCGCGGCAAGCGCAATCACCCGGCAATAATCGATCAGATAGATGTAGTCCTGCCGCATATAGAATCTGAACTTTTCCAGATCAAGAGAACCGTCGCCAATTCCAGTAACTAGTGGATGGTTGTGCTCGGTATCCCATATTTCGGCGCATTCCCGCCGCATATCCTCCGAGAAACCCATTTCTCCCCCTCAAATCCTATCCATCTTGTATATCTCGTTAGCCCCCACGCCCATGCTCCTCGCCATCTTCTTCTCCACCGCCCACTTCCGCATGCGCGCTCCACGTGTCGAACGGCTGAGACGTCGCATCCAGCCTCACATCGGCGATCTCGCCCGGCGAAAGGTCAATTGAAGGCGTCGGCCCAAGTTCTACCCCATTCGACAAGTGTATCTCAACGCGAACCCTATCTAGCGTAGTTTCGCTAACATTCTCCACAGTTCCCCAAAAGGCGTTGTCTGTCGCATTGTAACTCACAATTAACCGCGATCCCGCCCTGAGTTGGTCAAAGGTATCGCCAAGTCCATACTGCGCCGCGTCCTCCTCGCCATCCTCAGCGCCGGACTTCGCTTTCACAGAACCTTCGCCTTCACCGCCATGCTCGCCCGAACCCTCAGACCTCTCGCTAATCCGCTCACCATGCTCACCGCCGGACTCAGACTCGCCTGTATCCATGCCGCTCTCAGCGCAGGCGGCTATGGCAAGCACAGCCACAGCCGCCACTATGAATATCAATTTCTTCATCAAAATCTCAACCTTCATTATTGAACGTCAGTATCACTTTGTTGCAAAGGAAATCCCCTGTTCAGGGGAGTTGTAGGCCTGTGATACTTGCAAAAACACCGTCCATCTACATAGAACGACAAGGAGCCCGCAGGTTAGGGTCAAGTCAGACTCTCTTTAACCAAACTGAACACACTTAGACGAAATTCTCATCACAACATCCTATCTGTTCGGTCCATCTATGTTAGTTCTAGACCCTACTCACAACCACCCGCGCCCCTGACTCTACGTGCTTCAACACAGTCGCATCCCCTTCAATAGAACCGATCACATTCACCGCGCTCGCTGCCCGTATCTCATCGCCCCTGCTAGCAGGCGTCGGCCCGAAAAACAGGCACAGCGCCTGACCAGGCGGCCAGTACGCCAGTGCGCCCATGTTCACCACATCGCTCGCCCCGTCCTCCTCGTCCACCTGTACCGCAACTCTAAAGTAAATCTCATCTCCCCAAGTATTCGCCGACGCTTCCAACGGCAGCGCGTTCCAGAGCGCCTCCGCAGTGCTGCTGTCATTGAGCGTCGCCGTAACCAGCACACTGCCTGCCGTAACCGTAATCTTTCGCTCGTCCATTTCAACCTGCCCCTTCACAATTCATAACCCAGCGTCTTATACTCAGCACCGAATTATACATCAACCTATCCTCTACATCCCGTCAGCCGAAAGATATGCTCATGCCACCGTCAGGCTACATACTTGCGATCGATCAAGGAACCACTGGCACCACCGCCCTGCTAGTTGACGGCTCCGGACGGGTCGTCTGGCAGGCCTACCAAGAAATCACCCAGATTTACCCCCAGCCCGGCTGGGTAGAGCACAACCCCAACGAGATCTTCGATTCCGTGATGGAAACTGGTCGAAGAGCTGCTCGAAGCCACCGAGATTAGCCCACGCCAGCTCATCGCAATCGGCATTACGAACCAGCGCGAGACAACCATAGTCTGGGAGCGAAGCACTGGCCGTCCCGTCTCTAACGCCATCGTATGGCAATGCCGCAGAACTGCTCCTCTCTGCGATGCTCTTATGGCCCGTGGCCTCGAAGAAGACGTCGCAGAGAAAACCGGCCTGCCCATCGATGCATACTTCCCTGCAACCAAGATTCGCTGGATACTCGACCACATCCCCGACGGGCAGCAGCGCGCCGAAAACGGCGAACTCGCATTCGGCACTGTCGATACTTGGCTCCTCTGGAATCTCACCAACGGCACGCTTCACGCCACTGACGTAACAAACGCGTCCCGCTCCATGCTCTACAACATAGACACCCTCGAATGGGACCCGGACCTGCTTGAAGCACTTGACATCCCCTCGCAATGCTCCCTTCGGTTAAGCCATCGAGCGGCATATTCGGATACACAGGCGGCAACTTCTTCGCCGGACAGGCGATCCCCATCGCAGGCGTCGCCGGAGACCAGCACGCAGCGCTCTTCGGGCAAGCGTGCTTCGAACCGGGAATGGCGAAGAACACCTACGGCACAGGCTCGTTCATCCTCATGAACACAGGGACAAAGCGAGTGCGTTCCAATCACGGGTTGCTCTCTATCATCGCCTGGGACTTGGGAGACGCCATAACTTACGGCTTAGAGGGCAGCATCTTCTCCACGGGCGCAACCGTGCAGTGGCTGCGCGACGGCTTGCAATTCATTGAAGCCTCAGCGGATGTCGAAGCGTTAGCCGCTTCGGTCGAGGACAACGGAGGTGTCTATCTCGTACCCGCCTTCACAGGACTTGGCGCCCCCCACTGGGACATGTATGCTCGTGGCACGATTGTCGGCATTACACGCGGCACGAGCCGCGGCCACATCGCCCGCGCCGCCCTCGAATCCACCGCGTACCAGACCAGAGACGCCGTGGACGCGATGAGGAACGACACGGGCTTGGACATTCCGCTGTTGCGTGTTGACGGCGGCGGCACGGCAAATGACCTGCTGATGCAGTTTCAGTCCGACATCCTTGGCATTCCAATCGAGCGGCACGCCGTCGCCGAGACCACCGCTCTGGGCGCGGCATACCTCGCAGGTCTCGCAACCGGCTTCTGGCAGGGCACGGACGAAATCGCAGCAAATTGGGCCACTGACAAGCGTTTCGACCCGTCAATGGACCCGGACAAGCGCGCCAGCCTCCACAAAAACTGGCTTCGCGCCATTGACCGTTCCAAAAACTGGCAAGAATCCTGATAATTCCATATCCTATCGTCAATGTCCTATCCATAACTTGTGAATTAGCCTAAGGAGCGAAAAATGCCTACCATCCAAGCCGACCGACTGCAGAATATCGCCGCTCAGCTTCTCATTGGCGCAGGCGCAAGCGAAGAAGAAGCCGCAATCGTCTCGAAGCACTCCATAGGTGCGAACCTAGCGGGCCACGATTCGCACGGAATCATCCAGATTCCCACGTACATCGATCGAGTAAAGCGCGGCCACATCGTGCCCGGCGCCCCCTTCGACATCATCCGCGAATCTTCCACCACCACCGTCATCGACGGCAACTGGGGATTCGGCTATGTCGTCTCGGAGCGCGCGATGGAGATAACCATTGAGAAAGCGAAACAGCACGGCGTCGCCGCAGCCACCGTATTCCGCCAGAGCCACGTCGGACGTGTTGCAGACTACCCGCTTATGGCATCCAGTGAAGGTTTGATTGGCATCATGACCGCCGACTCAGGCAGGTCGTCGAAAGGAGTCGTCCCATTCGGAGGACGCGAGCCTCGCCTCGGCACAAATCCGATCTGCATCACCATGCCCAGCAACCTAGAGGGCCCCATGTTCATCGACATGGCGACCAGCGCGGTCGCCGCTGGAAAGCTCGGAGTCGCGGTCGCGCGCGGAGCGTCAGTCCCCGAAGGCTGGATAATCGACAAGGACGGCAACCCGTCAACCGACCCCAACGACCTCCGCAACGGCGGCGCAGTCTTGCCCCTCGGGGGCCCCGAAGGACACAAGGGATACGGCCTCTCCGTCATGGTCGAGATACTCTCAGGCATCCTCACAGGCTTGGGCTTCGGACACGACCCCTCAGGGCGCCACAACGACGGCTGCTTCCTGGCAGTTTTCAACGTGGACGCTTTCCGTCCTCTCGACGAATTTAAACAAGAAGTAACCGAATTCGCCCAGTACCTCAAGAGTACGCCCACAGCCGCAGGCTTTTCTGAAGTCTTTTACCCCGGCGAGTTGGAGCACCTAAGAGAACAGACCTTACTCGAAGAAGGCATCACCGTAGAAGACTCCACCTGGGACTTGCTGAAATCTTTGGCGGACGAGTACGGGATAAGCGAATCGCTAAACATGTCCTAGCCCATCGCGCTTTCATAGGGGCAGCCGATAAGGCTGCCTCTGTCCCATCAATTCATCTCATCCCTGATACGCGCTCCCATACAGCGCATTGAACAGCAGCTTATAAGTCCCCCGCGCCTGTGCCCGGAAATGCGGCCTGAACCCGAACAGCACGACCTCGCCCTCGCCCAGCGGCACGCTAGCCAGCGCGGTCCTGTTGTACAGCTTTTCCGGCCCTATCAGCATCCCGCTGAACAGCGGGTTTCGCAGCGGATACTTCGCCACCACCCTGCCTCGCCGTATGTCGAACGCCGGGCTGTCGTAGAACATAACTGCCGTCAGCCTGGGCATCCCGTATGCCATCGGGTGCCCCGCGTCCAGCAGCACTGCCAGCAGACTTCCCGGGCAGTAGAAATCAGCCCGCTTCAGGTCCGCCAGCACATTTCGCACCGGCAGTTCCAGATGCCGTATCGCGATACCGCGCCGACCCATCCCAAGTTATAAGCGTTCCCCCCTGCTCCACGAACTCCCGCAGCTGCTCGGCGCCCTTCTCCCCCAGCCCGCCCGAATACTTCGGATGATAGTACGATTCCCGGTGTCCACGATGGATATGCCGCACAGGTTGATTCGGCAGCACGATCGCATCGAATCGCTCGGCCAGCCCTCCCTCACGCACATCCCCGTCCAGCAATGACACATAATCGAAGCCATACTCGTCAAGCACATACCGCGTCCATCCCTCTTCCACCGCAGCAACATAGCTTCGATACACCCCAACACGCGGCTTCCCCATCACATGCCTCCCCACATCCGGCACCCCCTCAACGTCATGCAGCAGTCCCGCATCTCCATTTGAAATCATCCCGCTCAGAGCGCCAAAATCCTCCAAAATAAACGCACCCCGCGCAAAAGACACGCCTCCGACCGCAATCGGCTCGCGCGAGCGAGAGACCTGCGCGCCTTCCGCCAGCAGCCGATTCACCGCACGAGCGCTAGCATTCGACTCAGTCGATATGATTGCAGCTACCTGTCGTCGTCGGGTACGCACAATATGCCCTGTCGGACTGCTTACGCTGATTTGGTGAGGACTAGCCACTGACACCGATTCCGGCATCGAAGGCTCGTCTTCCTCAAGCACTCTCAGTTGCGCCGCGAATCTACGTCTAATCGTGTAAGTATTCACCCCCATCTGAATCGGCAGGCAGTGCGCCGTAACATCGTATGGCGCTTTCGGCGGACTCCCTGGATCAGTCGGCATTTCCGGATACTTCTGCTGTTCCAGCAACGTCCTTGCATAGCCCCAGTACGGCTGACCACACAGAATCACCCTCGCGCCGGCAGCAAACGGCTCGCCATCCGCACTGAACGCCTCCGTCGCTTCATGCACCTCCACAAGCCCCATACGTAGCGCGTCCAACATCTCCGCAGCGGCAGAGTGGTCGTGCTGCTGCAACGGCACTACGAACGCATAGGGCGCCCCGTTTTGTTCTATCGCGTTCTTGCCCACACTGTGTGAGTTTCGCACCAGCGTCTCGCGCAGTCGCGCGGAGTGGCTGAGGCACGACATCGCCGCCGCAAAGTCATACTCTACGATATCCCGCAGGCGCCAGATCCCGCCCTTCCAAGGCAGCGGATGATTCCAGGATACTTCCTTTGGCGCTTCTCCCCGGTCCGACTGTAGGTCCCGCTCCGGCACATTCACCGGCGTTGCTATGCGCGCTCCGGCCGCCTCCGTCAGCAACCTCACTCCCGCGTGATACTGTTGGTACGCACGATTCGGGCTGAACGAGTCATACACCACATTCATCGCGACCCCCGCCTTGCCCTGCGCCGTTAGGTCAGCAGCCATCGCTGAGCCCAGCATCGCGCTCTCAGCGTTCAGTATCGCGTCCACATTCGGCCCCATCGGATCGACGAACGGTGGCACCATCAACCGCACCCCGTTGGAGCGCGTCTGATGCATATCGAGAACTACATGCGGACGCCAGGCGTTGAAGCAGTGCTCCAGCACCAGCTGCGTCTCCTGCTGGGTGAACATAAACCAGTCGCGGTTGTTATCGTGCCCCGTGTAGTGCTGGTACAGGAAAGGCGGCATTACCCCCTCGTATGATTCGCCCAGCGTGCTCTCATACCACGCTTTCACATCAATCAGCCCGTCAGGATTTACGCTTGGAATCAGCAGCAAGATCACATTGTCCAGTATCGCCTGTGCATCGACGCTCTGCGACGTCGCAAGCTCGTGCGCCAGCAGCATAGACATCTGCGCCGCCCCCACCTCAGTCGCATGAATGCTGCAAGTGATAGCTACGACCGCCTTTCCCCGCGCTATTAAACCTTCCGCCGCTCCATCATCCGAAATAGTGCGAACATCCGCTAGTCGTGCCTGTATGTTCCTGTATTTCTCGAGTTCAGCAAGGTTACCAGGAGAGGAGATAACCGCCATCAGAAACGGGTTATCCTTCGTGCTCCTACCAATTTCAATCGTCTGCACCTTTTCTGACAGTTCGCCAAGCATCCTGAAGTAGTCTGTAATTTCAGGCCAGCCAGCCAGTTTCCTGTCCTCGCCAACCTCGAAGCCTAGATATTCGGCAGGCGTCAGAATTATTTTATCTTGCTCAACAGTCATCCAAATAATCCCAAACAACACTCAACTGAGATAAAATGTGAAAATCTACTAATCCTGTTGGATTCGCCCCGATAGCATACATCAATGGAGGATAAGACATGGCCGAAAGGCGCTACTGGCTGATGAAATCCGAACCCAACGCCTACTCTTTCACCGACCTGACGAACGAGGACGACAGCACCGCCGAATGGGATGGCGTCCGCAACTATCAAGCACGCAACACCATGCGCGATGATATGAAACAAGGCGAAGGTGTCATATTCTACCACTCCAACGCCAAGCCTCCCGGAGCCGTCGGAACTGCCGTCATCGTGCGCGAAGGCTACCCAGACAACACTGCTTGGGACCCCGATTCCGAGCACCCCGACCCTAAGAGCACGCCCGAGAACCCAATATGGTACATGGTGGACATCAAGGCAGTCTCAGAATTCAAGCGCTTCGTCCCCCTCCGCGAAATCAAAGAGACGCCGGGCTTAGAGAACATGCCTCTGGTCAAAAACTCCCGCCTATCCGTCCAGCCCGTGTCCAAAGAGGAATGGGACATCATACTCGAACTCGGAATGAACGACTGACTTAGCATTAATGACGTGCCCCCGACTTTGCTATCGTGTTCATATGAACACGATGTGGAGTACGGATTGGGCCGTTGCTCAGCCCATCCCGAAAGAGTGGGACGACATGAAGCGGTGCTTGTACCTGACCGTGGCTGCATTGATGCTATTTTCGATCACTGCATGCATCAGCAGCACTCCGCCCAGACCCGTCACCTTAGCCGAAGAAGCCGAAGTAATGGCGGCACTTCAAGATCGCTCATTTCGCGCCTTCCACCCGTCTAAGGATGCGGAGAAGAGAAAGGGACTCATCCTCGATTTCTTCGGCCCGGTGGGGCTATGGGCGCAATATGCCGTGGGCAAACGTGCCATCGACGAGTGGGAAATTGGCGCCCACGAATACCGCATCGAAAAGCACGGAGACATATCTGAAGTCACGATCCACCTAGAAGGCGCAATGACCCAACGCAACCTTCCCGACGAATGTGAAAACTGTATTCCAACAGCAGGCGTCTCCATCTCCATCAGAAATCTCTTCGACAGCGACAGGATAACCTTTAGGGTGAACGACCCTAAAGGCATTTTGCCCTCTCCCTTCCCCATCTTTAAGTCCTGGACCAGATTCACCGAGGACGAATACCAGAACGGCGGATAATGTCGCCTCGTCACTATATCCATTCCGCATCTATCATTCCAGTTGGCAGACCTAATAGTGGCAAGTGAGAAGACTATACTTGTTGCGGTTCAGGCTCTGTTGGGCTTCCTTATTAGATTAATCGTTCTGGTTTCCAATATGATAGGGCATGGATCCTTAAGAGATGTTGGTGGAGATTGTGACATTGCCCCTCCAGCTGCCAATTTGGCGATACCCCAGGCGTCTTGACAACCCATTGCACGAGTGTCAACATCGCTCTACGCCCGGCGCGTAATCGTGCGCTGTGCGAGAGCCTTATGACACGAGAGGTCGAACCCGCATGCAAAGTCCGCGCAGCACAGAAGGCGAACACCAAGAGCAGGGAGCATGACCACAACCACTCCCACGGTTTTCGTGGCAGGGGCGGATTCATTCTATCCGGACTAACTGGCGGGCACGGTGTCTTCCACTGGTTCACTCAGAGTTTCATCGCAATGTTGCCGGAGGTTCAGGCTGCATTCGCCCTGAGCGGCGTCGGCATTGGTGGAATCACCTCCATCAGAGAACTCGTCTCCGGAGTCGTAACGCTCCCGGGAGGTATCATCGCCGACACTCTGCGAAAGTATTGGGGTCTCGTCCTGGCACTGTGTATGGCAGTCTTCGGCATTGGATGGCTCATCATCGGCGTCGCACCCAACTACTACGTCCTGCTATTCGGCATGGCGGTCGTGGCTCTTGCGGCATCCATCTGGCATCTGCCAGCGATGGCGTCCCTGTCGCATCACTTCTCGCACCGCAAAGGCGCAGCCCTCTCATTCCACGGCGTTGGTGGGCAGATTGGCGATGTCCTCGCGCCTCCCGTAACCGGCATCCTGCTCGGCTTCCTCGCATGGCGAGGCATCATCAGCATTTACGCCGCGCTTCCCATCTTCCTCGCCTTCCTCGTCTACTGGGCGTTCAAGAACATCGGCAGGACCGGCGAAGAAGGCGGCGCTGACGAGCCGGGCAGCCAGATGCAGGCAACTAAGCGCGTCCTCCGCAACCCCACCCTGTGGAGTCGTCGCATTCGTCGGCGGCATCAGAGGCATGGCATTCCTCGGACTCATAACCTTCTTCATAATCTTCATAAATGACCTTGGTATCGCTCTGGACGGCAGGCCATTCTCAATCGAATTATCCATACCCTCACTATTCTCAATATCATTTGGCGAATTCGAGATGACCACGTTCGTCCGAAACCTGCACTTCGGTTTGTTGCTTGCGGTCGGCATTGTATCCACGCCCGTCGTCGGCTGGCTTTCTGACATCATTGGCAGGAAGGCAGTGCTGGTGCCGGGCTTGCTGCTGCTCGCCATCCTCTCGTACCTGCTTGGTAACTCCGTTCCCGGGCTTGGTCTGATAGTCATCATCGCGCTGATGGGCACTTTCCTCTACGGCGACCAGCCCATACTCACCGCCCTAGCCCTTGATGTTGCCGGTGACGAAGTTCCCACCACGGTCCTGGGAATCCTGTCCCTCGAACGCTTCCTGCTTAGTGCTGCCTCCCCTATCATTGCAGGCGCTCTTTATGACAACGGCTTCGCATTTGGGGGCATCGATCTCGCCGGCCCCCAAGCCACATTCACGTATGTCGCCGTCTTGTTTCTTCTAGGCGCGGTCATATTGCTCGTCACGCCGTTGCCGCGTCCCACCCATTCGCCCGATCATCACTAACTTCCAGAGCCAAAACATGTGGAGGCTTCTTAATTGGCATATAATATCCCGTGCGATAATGCGCTAATAAATCTCATCAGCGGGAGTAAGCAATGAACTTTTCTATAACGGTTCTGCCGGGTGACGGCATAGGTCCTGAGGTCGTCTCTGAGGCGGTCAAGGTCATGAACGCAGTCGGGAATCGCTTTGGCCATTCATTCGGCACCACGTATGGCAGGGTCGGCGGCAACGCCATTGACGACTTCGGCACGCCATTGCCCGACGATACAGTAGAGATGTGCCGCGACACCGACGGCATTCTGTTTGGAGCGGTCGGCGGTCCCAAATGGGATGATCCGCGCGCCAAGACACGACCGGAAGACGGCATCCTGGCCATCCGCAAGAGCCTTGGACTGTTCGCTAACCTTCGCCCGGTGAAGGTCTATCCTCAGTTAATAAACTCCAGCCCGATCAAGCCGCACTTGCTGGAGGGCGTTGACATGATAATAGTGCGCGAGTTGACCGGCGGCTTGTACTTCGCCAAGCCAAAGAAGCGCTGGGACACATCGAGAGGACGGCGTGGCGTGGATACCCTGAAGTACACCGAGCAGGAGATTGAACGCATCATTCGTGTAGGATTTGAACTGGCGCAGGGCCGCCGCAAGCGCCTAACATCTGTGGACAAGGCAAATGTGCTCGAAACGGGAAGGCTTTGGCGCGAGATCGCAACCGAAGTAGCGGATGACTACCCAGATGTAGAGCTTGAGCACGTTCTCGTTGACGCCGCTGCAATGCAATTGATTAGCAATCCCGCGCACTTCGACGTCATCGTTGCTGAGAACACCTTCGGCGATATACTAACCGACGAGGCATCCGTGCTCGCAGGTTCTATGGGCATGCTGCCCTCTGCCAGCCTCTCCGGATTGCCCAAGCCGAGCGGTCGCGGCAAGCGTCCCGTAAGTCTGTACGAACCTATTCACGGCAGCGCCCCCGACATCGCGGGACAAGGTATTGCCAATCCCATCGGCACCATCCTGAGCCTGGCTTCCATGCTGCGCTACTCGTTGGGTCTCGAAGCCGAGGCGCAGGCTATTGAGCAGTCCGTGGAAGGCGTTCTAGCAGAGGGTTACCGCACGCCGGACATCGCAGGCGATGGCGGCGAGGTATGCAAGACGACCGAAATGGGCGATGTCATTGCCGGACGGGTGTAGCCAACGCTAACCTCAGGAGGTACGGCACAATGGCACTACGCAGCAGTACGACGCCATCGTAATCGGGCTTGGTGGAATGGGCAGCGCTACGCTATATCAGCTGGCGAAGCGCGGCAAGCGAGTGCTTGGCATCGAGCAGTTCGGCATCGCGCATGAACTCGGCTCTTCGCACGGCTGTAACCCGCATCATACGCCTTGCCTATCACGAACACCCGTCGTACGTGCCGTTGATGCGCCGCGCCTACGAACTGTGGCGCGACCTAGAAGCCGAAAACTGAGGAACAGATCCTGCACATCACCGGCTCCATAGATGCGGGGCCGCCGGACGGCTCAAACTTCAACGGCTCACTTCTCTCCTGTGAGGAACATGACCTCCCCCATGATGTGCTTACTAGCGCTGAGCTTACGAAGCGATTCCCCGGCTACCGATTGCCATCTGAGACAATGGCGGTCTTTCAGGGCGAAGGGGGCTTCGTGCTGCCGGAGCGCTGCATCTCTCTGTTCGTCGAGCAGGCAAAAGCCCTCGGCGCGACCGTACATACAAACGAGCGCACTCTGGAGTGGCATCCAACCACGAATGGCGTAAGCGTGCGCACCGAGCGCGGTGAATACGAAGCCGAGACACTAGTCATATCGGCGGGGGCGTGGGTGGCCAAGCTACTTCCCGGACTTGGCGCGGCAGCTATCCCAGAGCGTCAGGTGCTGGCGTGGTTTGAGATACTACGCCCGGAGCATTTCACGCCTGATGTTTTCCCAGTTTTCAACTTGGTGGTGGACGAAGGTCAGTTTTACGGCTTTCCAGAATTTGGAATACCCGGCTTCAAACTGGGAAAGTACCACCATCTCGAGGAGAATGTTGACCCAGACACGATTGACCGTGAGCCAAACGCCAAAGATGAATCAGTGCTGCGCGATTTCACGGAAGAATATTTCCCGGGCGCCGCCGGCGCTACGGCTTCAATGAAGGTCTGTATGTTCACCAACAGCCCGGACGAGCACTTCATCATAGACTGCTTACCAGATGCCCCACAGGTAGTGGTCGCTGCTGGCTTTTCGGGTCATGGCTTCAAGTTCTCCAGTGTCGTTGGAGAAATCCTATCAGACCTCGCAATTGACGGCGCGACAAGCCACGACATAGGAATGTTCAGGCTTGCGCGATTTGACTGAAGTATATTTGCTGCAGCGTAGTGGCAAATGAACCCTTCAGCCTATTCAACAAGCACACCTGCAAATCTGCCCGGGCGATACGGACCCAGCACGGCATCTGCAGACGCGCCGTCACATACCTCAGCGCCGCCAACTCGCTAAGCGCCGGCGCAAGAGTAACACCGCTATGCGTGAGTGCCACATAGAGATTTGGAGCCTCATCCGCGAAACCCATCACCGGATAGCCGTCTAACGGCATAGGGCGCCACCCCACAGGAACGGGTATCGCCTCAGCTCCCGCGAGTCCCGGAAGGTAATGCCTGGCACGCTCCAGGAGATCATCCGCATGTGCCTGGCTATCATCTTCTGCCAAGCTTTCTTGGCTTCCCTCCCCGATCATCATCCTGCCGTCCGCACACTGACGTATGTGAATCTCCTGCCTTCCTTCGCCCGGCGCAGGCGCATAAATAACAGGTACATTGTTAAGTAAACGTGGTAGTGGCGTCGTGCGTATAACCACACCCGGGCTTTCTGATTGCGGAACATTCACGCCGGCTTTGGCTGCAATCACCGAGGTGCCCGTGCCTGCCGCCACTACAACAGCGTCGCAATCGATGTCCCCTGTCGTAGTCTTTACCGCGGAAACACGGCCATCGCTGCCCAGTTCAAATCCGGTGACCTCAGTGTCCGTGCGGACTTCCGCCTCACATTCGGCCAAGCGGCTCATGCAGGCATCGACCACCATCTGAGGCTCCACCTGTGCTTCGTTTTCACTGTATTCGGCAGCTAACACTTCGCCGACTGAGAGGGATGGTTCCAGTTCGGATAGTTCGTCCGCGCTGATCAGGCGTGTGGGATAACCCCAGGATTGCAGTTGCCGTACTTCGTTTACCAATTGCTCGGCCTTGGATGAGTCGGACTCCCAGGATACCTTGCCGCCCCAGCGCAGGCCGATACTAGCTCCATCCCCGTCGTAGGCCAGAACAGCCGCAAACCTTGGCCACATCTCCAGTGACCTCCGATTAAGGTTGTGGTAGCCAATAGGTTGCTTGGAACCGGCATTGATCCAGGCAAAGCTATGACTAGACGCGCCGCTTCCCGGTGACGACTTGTCGATTACGGTAACCTGATAGCCACGAGCAGATATTCGCCAAGCAATGCTGGCGCCTAAGATGCCGGCCCCAACTACGACCACGCTCTTGTTAACTGTCTGAAAACTCGCCATCGGTAAGCTATGTCTCCCTTTACACACTCTCGGAACGAAAATTATTCATACACCGGTGATAATCATTCCATGTGTAAACCCGATAACGCTGACATTTTCTCAACAGTAACTTAGCTCAATCGCCTACAGATTCCTGTAGCTGGATGCGACAGAGAGAACACCCTCCGCCCATCGCATCTGCACTAGCAACAGTTAGTTTCCCATCCCTTGCAACTCGACGACCGGAAATCATGACGGTCGCTTGCAATGCCAAGGCGAATAAACTCACAAAGAGACTGAATATTGCCGTCAGAAGGGCCGCTATCAGACCTGTCATTCTGAGGCTATTTACTCTTCTTTCATTCACTATTCCAAGCTCCAATTTTCGTACAAAATCTAGAATTCAGTTTGATTTTATTCAAAACCTGCGTTCCCTGATTATAAGTCCAGCATAATCTTTGGGTTTGGGCAAGCCATATTTAGGTTTATTTCTGTGCGATTTATGGCTCTCCTTCTTCTACACGCCTTAGAGTCTGACCGTTCGTATATTTATGCTGTTCCCAGTGTACGAAGCAGCTTCGAGCGAAATGGCCAATGCAGACCATCGGAGTAGCAAAAGAAAGACTGTAATGCGGTACCAGTCAACGACAATGCTCGTTCCAAGATTGGAACAACAGGCGGTTTGCTGTATCTTAGAGGCGCAAAGTCTTGAAACGCTGTAACAGCGACGCTGATATTTGAAAGATATGGTCAGCGCAAGTAACCCAACAGGATAGGAGATTGGAAAATTGAGTAAGCCTGTGTTGAAGTTCGCAATTGCAAATTATGGTCATACTAATCCCCTGAAAGACGGCAGCGTCACATCAGAAATGTTCGACATGGAGCACATAGAAGTGTCTCCGGTGCCGATGATTTTCCGACGAATGGTTCGCGGCTTGGAGTTCGATGTTGCCGAAATGGCCCTCTCGACTTACCTCTGCGCCCGTGCATACGGGAAGCGCTTCACAGCCTTGCCTATCTTCCTTACACACGACTTTTACCATGGTGGGTTGGTCTATAACAGTCGCAGCGGAATTGAATCACCGAAAGATTTGGAAGGGCGCAGGGTAGGCGTCAGGAGCTATACTCTGACTCCTGGAGTTTGGACACGCGCGATTCTAAAGACTGAATACGGCGTGGACCTCGACGCCGTAACATGGGTTCTGTCGGGTGATGAGCATGTCGAGGAATTTGTGGCTCCTGCCAATGTCGTATCTTCGCCCAATAATGACCTTGGCGAAATGCTCATTTCGGGCGAGATCGACGCAGCAATTGGCGCCGGACCGGTTAATTCTTCAGACATTCAGGCATTGTTCCCAAATGCGTCTGCAGCCGACAAATCTTGGCACCGAAAGACAGGCATATATCCTATCAGCCACTTGCTGGTTGCAAAGGACGAATTGTTGGAGTCGCAAGAGGGCATCGCACAAGAGCTATTCGACCTGTTCAGCAGAGCAAAATCTCCGTATATGCAGGAACTTCGCTCCGGAAACGCTTCCAGCCCACAGGATAAAGTGCTGCTTGATAGGGCAGAGATAGTGGGTGATGACCCAATCCCGTACGGATACGCGAATGCTCTTAATACGCTGGAGTCTTTTATTGGATTCAATGTCGAGCAGAAAGTGATTCCGAACGCTGTGGACCCAACTGAACTGTTCCCAGCGAATACGCTGCAATTGGCCTAGCAAGACCGACATGCTCTCGAATCGAAAGCGGTGTTAAGAGTTTCGCGTGGGCGTCCGATAGGGCTGCGAGCCCTCATCATCAAGGTGCCGGGCTCGCAAGCCACAATTTACCGGGCGACCACGTTCACCAACTTCCCGGGCACATAAATCACCCGTGAGACATTCTTGCCTTCAATGTGCGGAGCAACCCTGACTGCTCTGAAGAGCTGCGTCCTTGGCATCCTCTTCGGCAATGGATACTGCTACTTCGAGTTTATCCCGCACACGCCCATTCACTTGGACTACAAGTGTGATGACTTCATCGGCAGCAAGCTCTTCGTCCCATTCGGGCCAGGCGATCGAGTGAACACTTCCTTTGTGTCCCGTAAGTTCCCACAGCTCCTCAGCAATGTGGGGAGCCATGGGCGACATGAGCGCTAGAAGGTTGCTGATGCCTCCGCCCAATGTTCAGAATGAACACCTTTCGCTTCCCAATGCTGGTTCAGCCCATTGGTGTACTCCATAAGTCCCGCCAGAGCAGTGTTGAATTTGAAACGCTCCAAGTCTTCGCCAACGCGCCTGATTGTCTTGTGCATAAGCCGCTGCATATCCCGGATGGCGTTGTCGTCTTCTGGGAAGTCGTCTAGCTGTCTCGCATCACGAGTGGCGACATCCCAGACGCGGTTCATCCAGCGCGCCATGCCGTTGATGCCTGAGTCGCTCCAGCTGCCGCCCTGGTCCCAGGGGCCCAAGAATATCAGGAAGCAGCGCACGACATCAGCGCCGAAGACATCCACATATTCATCCGGTGCAATGACATTGCCCCGAGATTTGCTCATCTTCTCGTGGTCCGGACCAGAGAATAACTCCTTGGTTGTAGAGACGTTCAAAGGGCTCGTCCAAGTCAAGCAAGCCTAAGTCACGCAGCGCCTTGACGAAGAATCGCGCGTATAGCAGGTGCATCACGGCGTGCTCCACTCCTCCCGTGTACTGATCGACCGCGCCCCATTGAGCAAGCTTATCGGTATCGAAAGGACCATCCTCGTACTTCGCATTGGTGAAGCGCAGGAAGTACCAAGACGAATCAACGAAGGTGTCCATAGTATCGGTCTCACGTTTGGCGGGACTTCCGCAATCTGGACAGGCAGTGTTCAGAAACGCCTCGTTGAGAGCCAGAGGGGATTCGCCCGTTGGTTGGAATTCTGCGTCCTCCGGAAGCAGCACCGGAAGATCATCGTCTGGAACAGCCACATCGCCGCAGTCATCGCAGTAGATGATGGGAATTGGCGTGCCCCAGTAGCGCTGACGCGAAATCAGCCAGTCGCGCACGCGATACTGCACTGTGCGGCGTCCCCAGCCGCTCGCCTCGATATGATCTGCGATGCGCTGCCAGCCTTCCGTACTGCTCAACCCGTCGAACTCCGCCGAGTTGACCTGCGTACCCACGCTCAAATAGCTTCATCTAGGTCTCCGCCATCCCAATCGGGCGGCGCGACGACAACGCGAATCGGCAATCCGTACTTCTTTGCGAAAATAAAGTCGCGCTCGTCGTGGGCCGGCACGCCCATCACTATGCCCGTTCCGTAGCTCAAGAGCACATAGTCGCCAACAAGAATGGGCACTCGTTCGCCGTTAAGCTTATTGACACAGTATGAGCCCGTGAAAACGCCAGTCTTGTCCTTGTCGGTCGCCAGTCTCTCAATCTCCGTTTGCAAACGCGCCTTCGTCACATAAGCTTCAACTGTATCCTTGTGTTCAGAAGTGGTCAGTTTTTCGACCAGAGGATGCTCTGGCGCCAAAACGACGAATGTTACTCCGTACACCGTATCAATGCGAGTCGTAAATGTGGTGATGGACTTCTCCTCCAGCCCATGCTCGGAAATATCAAACTCAATGTCCACGCCCTCGCTGCGGCCAATCCAGTTATCCTGCATCGTGTTTATCTTATCGGGCCAGTCAATCTTCGAATGGTCCAGAAGTTCCTCTGCATAGTCGGTGATTTTGAAGAACCACTGGTTGAGGTCCCTGTGCGTGACCGTGGTCGAGCAGCGCTCACAGAGGCCATTTATCACCTGTTCGTTAGCCAGCACAGTTTGACAAGACGGGCACCAATTTACTGGGGCGTAGGCACGATATGCCAGTCCGCTCTTGTAGAACTGGAGGAAAAACCACTGATTCCATTTGTAGTACTCTGGGGCGCAGGTAACGACCTCTCGGTCCCAATCGTAGATCGCTCCCATACTGCGGAGCTGACGCCGCATGTTCTCCATGTTCTCTGTCGTCCACCTAAAGGGATGGATACCACGTTGGATGGCCGCGTTCTCAGCATTCAGCCCGAATGCGTCAAAGCCCATTGGGTGAAGCACATTGTAACCTTGCATGCGACGGAAGCGCGCATGAGCATCAGATGGACTCATCGCATACCAGTGACCGACATGGAGGTCACCCGAGGGGTAAGGATACATCGTCAGCTCATACCACTTCGGGCGCGGGTCGTCGTCGTTGACCTTGTGGGCGCCGCCCTCGAGCCAGCGCTGCTGCCATTTGGCATCAATAGCATTGTGGTCATATCGCTGCTCAGTCGTTCTGACAACTGCCATAGTTAGTCCTCCGCTGCGTGCGAATAGTCAAAGTCACACAAAAAAAGCCCGTCCCCTTGCAAGGGACGGGACTCCACTTGGAAGATACCGCGGTACCACCCTTGTTCCCCGATTGAGATTTCAACCAGGACACTCGAATGCTGTAACGGGCTAACCCGTCCAACCCTAATTCGCGAAAGCAGCGAGTTCAGATCGGCAACTCAGGGGCGAGTTCACGGCAGATTGGCCGCCGGGATTCCACCATCCCCGACTCTCTGAAGGCCATACTGTTGCGCTACTACTCCCCTTCAACGCTTTTCGTATCTGTATTAAAATAACCTAACATTGGGCGGGATTGGCGTCAAGATAATGTCCATCTGGCGGATGACAACGCAGGAAAGAATGACACTTGTCCGGATACAGTGACGCGCTCGCAACCACATTGTCACAATGAAGCAATTCTGAAGATCCTTAGTCTTGCCGCTTATGGTAGTTCTGCCATGGACATTTCGCACTGCTCACGCATAGTCATTATAGGCACAACAGGTTCCGGAAAGACCACGCTCGCACAGAGACTATCACACGTGCTACAAATTCCAGCCGTGGAATTGGATGCCTTCCGACATGGGCCCAATTGGACCGAAACTGCCGATCAAGTTTTCAGACAGCGAGTGTGCTGATTCGCTGAATAGAGAGAATTGGATCGTTGATGGCAATTACAGCGTGGCGCGCGACCTCATCTGGCCTCGCGCAACGACACTCATCTGGCTGGATTACTCTTTTCCGCTAGTGTTCTGGCGGCTTTTTCGTCGCACTATGACACGGGGAATAATGCGAACTCGCCTGTGGAACGACAATAGAGAGGATCTTTGGCGTCACCTTCTTACCAAGGACTCACTCTTCCTTTGGGCATTACAGAGCCATTGGAGTCGCCGCAAGTCCCTTGCTGCCGATGTATCTTCCCCAGAATACAGTCACATCAATGTCCTGCGGTTCAGGTCAGCGAGAGAAACTCAACAGTGGTTCGAACGGATAAAACGCCAACTGTAGTGTATTATAACGGTGTACAGATTAGGGATTAATAAAGCCCCAAGGCCAGCGAGAGGTTCATATGTCCGAGCACAAGGTATCCGTGATTCGAGGCGACGGTGTCGGCGTCGAGGTTATTGAAGAGGGCATAAAGGTGCTGACCGCAGTCGGCGAGCAGTACGACGTAACTTGGAACTTCATTGAGCATCCGTGGAACTCAGATTACTACTTCGAGCATGGCAGGATGATGCCAACCGATGCGCTGGATCAAATGGCGGAATCGGATGTTATATACTTGGGAGCCGTGGGTCATCCCGACCTGCAAGACCACGTAACATTGAACGGACTGCTGCTGCCCATACGACGTACTTTCGATCAGTATGTATGCGAGCGTCCCAGTGTGCTATATCCCGGTATTACTTCACCTCTTCGTGACCCGAAGCCATATGACATTGACATGCTTGTAATCCGCGAGAATACCGAGGGGGAATATGCCGAGGTGGGGGGGTTCCAATACGCCGGCTTCGAAGAGGAAATAGGCATTCAATCGGGTGTTTTCACCCGGCGCGGATGTGAGCGCATCATAACCTATGCGTTCGAGCAGGCTCGGCGACACGACAGGCGCAAACATGTAACCTCAATCACCAAGTCAAACGCATTGGGCTACGGGATGCTCGTATGGGACAGGGCATTCGATAGGGTAGCCGAAGGATACCCCGATATAGAGACCAATTCTTTGCTAATTGATGCAGCTTGTATGGACTTCGTGCGCCGCCCTGAGAGTTTCGATGTGGTCGTTGGCAGCAATCTCTTTGGCGACATACTAACCGACATTGGCGCCATAATTACAGGCAGCATGGGGCTGGCTCCAAGTGGCAACATAGACCCGGAACGCCGCTTCCCTTCTATGTTCGAGCCGGTTCACGGGAGCGCACCTGACATAATGGGAAAGGGTATAGCGAATCCTATGGCTGCAGTCTTATCCGCTTCGATGATGCTGCGCCACTTGGGACACGATGATGCCGCGGATGTGGTGGACAAGGCAGTGATTTTTCTAATTGGGCAAGGTGAGATTCTGACGCCAGATCTCGGTGGCACATCGTCCACTTCTCAGGTGGGCGACGCAATAATAAACGCGCTCGGCAAAGGCTAAAGGCAATGCAGATAGAGTCGGCCACACAGCCTGCTAAGCCGAGCAGACGGCGCAAGGTCCGAGCCCAGGATGTTATGGACTACTTGGGTGCGCAGTATGGTCCCGTACAGTGGCATGTGCGCTACACTCCGGCAGAGGAGCTTGTCTATACGATCCTGTCACAGCACACGTCCGACCTGAACTCCGAACGCGCCTTCAAGAGCCTGATAGCCACCTTTGAAACGCTGGACGCGGTTGCGGACGCCTCTGTTGACTCGATTGAGGAAGCGATACGCCGTGGAGGTCTTGCGAAACAGAAGGCACCTCGCATCAAGAATGTGCTGTGCCAGATCCGAGATGAGATTGGCTCTTTTGATTTATCCTTCCTCGCCGAAATGCCGCTCGATGAGGCGAAGGCCTGGCTAAAGCGTCTGAACGGTATAGGTCCCAAAACCGCGGCAATCATACTTTGCTTCTCTCTTGGAATGCCGGCTATGCCCGTGGACACGCATATCTTCCGGGTTTCCAAGCGTCTTGGATTGATCGGACCAAAGGTGAACGCTGACAAAGCCCACGACATATTGGAGCCGCTGGTTGCTCCCGAAGATGTTTTCGCCTTCCACATGTATCTTATTCAGCACGGACGGCAGGTGTGTAAGGCGCAGCGACCACTATGCGATGAGTGCGCCCTTGCATGGGGCTGCCGAGAGCGTCCAAAAATTGAGCGAGAAGCGCGGCGCGTACAGCGTAAGAGAAGCCGTAAATCCAAGTAAACCTTGTCGGTTGATTAGGCTAAAGATATACTTGGCATCATCAGTTGCAGGAGGCAGATGCGTTGAAAGTAAAAGTTGGCATCATCAACGTAACAGGATATGCGGGCGTGGAGCTTGCTCGTATTCTCGCCCGACATCCCAATGCAGAGATAACCTCCGTCACAGGCCGAAGCGCCGCTGGGCAGAAGCTCGCCGATGTGTTCCCGCATCTCTCAGAGATTGACCTGACCATTACTGAAGACATTACCGAATCCGTGGATTTGGTGTTTTCCGCGCTACCGCACGCTGCGAGTGCCGAGCGAATCGGTCACGCGCTCTCCGACGGCGTGAAGGCTATAGACATCAGTGCCGACTTTCGTCTTAATGACCTCAGTGTGTACGAAGACTGGTACAGTGTGCAACATCCCTGCCCAGAATACATGGAAGGTTCGGTCTATGGCTTGACCGAACTGCACCGCGACGAAGTGTCGGGCGCCGACCTCGTTGCGAATCCTGGATGCTACCCGACTGCTTCGATAATGGCGCTGGCGCCTGCTGTGGCAGCGGGTATCATAGAGAGCGATATCATTATCGACGCCAAGTCTGGTGTATCTGGGAGCGGGACGCGGCTTGTCGCTGAAGACACACTACTCTGAAGTCAATGAGAACTTTATGGCATACTCGGTTGACGGACACCGCCACTTACCAGAGATCCAGCAGGAGTTGGACCTGCTCGACGCTGGTGACGGCCTCCGCATCACTTTTTTGACCCATCTCGTTCCGATGACGCGCGGCATCCTAGCAAGTTGCTACGCCCCTCTCAAAGAGGGAGCGATCGCTTCAGGGGAAGGCGCCAAGAGCGAGATCCGCGAAATTTACGACAACTTTTACGCGAATGAGACTTTTGCCAAGGTCGTGCCTGCGCCGCCGATGACAAAGCACACGCTGGGGAACAACGACTGCGTAGTCTATCCCACGGTCGACACGAGAACCAATCGCCTCATCGTGCTCAGTTGCATCGACAATCTCGTGAAGGGCGCTGCTGGTCAAGCAATCCAAAACATGAACCTGATGTTTGGCCTGCCGGAAGAGGAAGGAATTACCCAGTTGGCACTGTACCCATAACGGCGCCGGCTAATTTTCTGGCTTCGGAGCCTTCTGGATTTCATTGCAGGCTGCCCGCCGAGTCACTACAATATAGTTGATGGGCAATTTCTCCTGCCCGCTTTGTGGCCCCATCGTCTAGAGGACTAGGACAGCGGCCTTTCAAGCCGCAAACACGGATTCGAATTCCGTTGGGGCTACCACACCTTCCCTATTTTCATTTCAGGTCTTCTCAATTTTGTCCTCCGAACACATCAAGAGGGCCATCCGCTTAGGCTGGGACGAGATGTCCGAGTCCTATCAAGCGGAGACCTTCATTTCCCTTAGCGACGTACACTACGCGCCGCTGTGTCCCGGCGAACGGGAGTTGAGCATCCTGGGCGACGTGGGCGGCCTGCGGACTCTGGAATTGGCCTGCGGAGCAGCGCAGAACTCCATTGCGCTCGCCAAATGGGGCGCGCGCGCAACCGCTCTTGACCTGTCGGAGCGGCAGTTGGGTCGAGCGCGCGAACTGAGCGCGCAGGAGGGTGTGCAGGTCGATCTGGTGCAAGGGGATATTGAGCGGCTGGGGATGTTCCGCGACGGCCGATTCGACATCATCATTACTTGTTTTGGTATGGAGTTTTTGCCGGATCCCGGGGCTTGCCTGCGGGAGTGCTTCCGGGTGCTGCGTGGCGGCGGGATGCTTGTGATGGGGACGGTGCATCCGCTGACGGCGTTCGAGTGGGATGCTGATGACGAGATGTTGCGCGTTACGGACTACTTCAACCCGCCAGTGGAGGTCTGGGAGGAGCCGACTCAGGACGAAACCCAGAAGGGGCTGACTTTCTTTCGCAGCTTCCAGGAGATGTTCGGGATGCTGGTGGAAGCGGGGTTTCAGGTGGAGCAGGTCATCGAGCCTGCGCCCTACGGCGCGGATGACCCCAGGCGAGAACAAGCTCCTTACGGCGGCGCGTACTGGGAGAGCCAGCGCGAGCGGTTGAGCAGGATTCCGTTCGCCATCGTGTTCAAGGCGCGAAAGCCTATTTCAACTTGGCTGCAGGCACCTTAGCTGAAGGCTCTTTAACCGCCGCCGACCGCGCGCACAATCTCGACTTCGTCACCTTCGGCGAGCGTGACATCATCGAACTCTTCGCGGCGGATTACCATGCCGTTATGGGCGACGGCGATGGAGCGAATGTTCACCTCAAGCGAGTCCAAGTAGTCAACGAGAGGCGTGGGCGCTTCCAATGTGCGTTCCTTGCCGTTTATGGTTAGTGTAATCATGCTTGACCTCACATGGCCTTAGCGGGCACTGACAAGACTGCTGCTTGCATGGTTGCCAGCAGGTCGGCTGATGCGGCGGCAGGGTCTTCTGCGGTTGTGATTGCGGTGATTACGGCTGCGCCGACTGCGCCCTGCGCGATTACTTCACCAGCATTTGTTGCGTCTATGCCGCCGATGCCGAGGAACGGCAGACTGACCGCAGAAGCAACTTCCCGCACGATCCTGGAGCCTCCAGTGACTGCACCCGGATGCGAAGCTGTCGGGAAGATTGTGCCCAGAACGAGCAGGTCTGCGCCTTGAGCCTCGGCTTTCAGCGCGCCGGCAACGCTGTGGACCGAGCGCCCGAGCAGCAGACTCTCGCCGGCTATCTGCCTTGCGGCTTCGAGCGGCAGTGCGTTCTCGCCGAGCTGCACTCCATCGGCGTTGGCTGCAAGGGCTATGTCCACACGGTCGTTGACGAACAGCAATGCCCTCCTGCCCACAACATCTTTGAGACGCAGCGCCAGAGCGTATAGTTCGGCAGCCGGCAAGTCTTTCTCGCGCACCTGCACCAGCCCTACCCCACCATCGACCGCAGCGTCCACGACATCTTCGATGCGCCGTCCGTTGCAACGGAGGCGGTCGGTTACGAGGCAGAGTGTCGGAACGTGGAACTGCATCGCGCGCGCCTTAGCCGACACTGCCGACCGGAGCGGCAACGCCCTCTGTCGGGCTTGATGCGGTGGCGGACTGCTTGCGCTGGATGCGTCCTGCGAGATATGCCTTGCGGCCAGCCTCAACGCCCAGCTTGAACGCTTCGCCCATGAGCTCCGCGTCTTCTCGCCTGAGCGATGGCGGTATTTACGAGCACGCAATCAGCACCTGTCTCCAGAGCCTGCGATGCCTCGGACGGAACTGCGAGTCCGGCGTCAACTACGACCGGCACATTGGCGTCGGCGACAATCAGGCGAATCTCTTCGAGAGTCTGTATGCCCTGCCCTGAGCCGATGGGCGAGCCGAGCGGCATAACGGTGGCGCAGCCGATGTCTTCGAGGCGCCGGGCGAGCACGGGGTCAGCGTGTATGTAGGGCAGCACGGTGAAGCCTTCATCGACGAGCTGGCATGCAGCTTCGTAGGTGCCTATGGGGTCGGGGAGCAGGTGCTTCGGTTCAGGAATGACTTCCAGCTTTATCCATGATGAACCAGTTACCTCACGCGCAAGGCGAGCGGTGAAGACAGCTTCATCCGCGGTCTTGCAGCCTGCGGTGTTGGGAAGGATAGTGTATTCGTCCCAGTCGAAGTAGTCGAGGATGTTCTTCTCGGCAGGATTGTCGAGGTCGAGGCGGCGTATGGCTACGGTGATGATTTCCGCGCCCGATGACTTCACGGACGCGACCATTTCCTCCATGCTGCGGTGGCGTCCAGTGCCAACCATCAGACGGGACTTAAACTCCTTGCCTGCGATGATAAGAGGGTCGTGCATCTGAAAGTCTCCTGTCGAACTGATACTGCCGTCTAGTGATACCGTTGTCTAAGTGATACTGATAACTGTGAAGCGCCGATGATTATAGCATCATATCAAAAAAGCGAAAGCCGCTGGCTGTTATGCCAGCGGCTGCTTTGATTGTACGGTTACACAGTCCCTACGCTGGCATTATCCAGGTCAGGTACGAGGGGTCGCTCCGAAGTGTCGAAGCCTCTCAGCCTGGCTTGCCCAAGCTCCCCCAGCAGCGTGCGTATTCTGTTGTGGGTTCAGAATAGCCTATCACTGCTCGCAAGTCAATGAGGCGGCAGAGTGTATCAGCCGTCAGCGGTCAGCGTTTAGGGTTAGGGTTAACCTGCAGGGCTAACATCCCATGCAAGGGGTGAAGGGACTTCATTCTTGCCCTCACCCTAGCCCTCTCCCAGAGGGAGAGGGGACTTTGACGTTAGGGGCTGCGGATGGTGGGGTTTTTGTGCTTGGCGGCGAGCGGGTTGGGGAGGATGGGGGTGTTGTGGGCTGCGGCGGCTTCGGTAAGTTGCACTAGCGGGTCTGACATGCCGCGCGGCGCGGACATGCTTGAGAAGTCCACTATTTCTTCTTCGGTCAGGCCGTGTTCGCGTCTGTCTTCTTGGTCGAACTTTGCTTGTTCTTCGGTGCTTAGGGGTTCGAAGTAGTAGTCCACGGTTGGATCGGGGTCGTTGGGGCCGTAGTCGTAGATGTTCTTTTCTGGTTTTACGTCTATGCGGCGGTACTTTGCCTCTGCGCGGAGGGCTGCCCGCTCGTCGCCCCTGTCCATCGCTTCCTTGAACTCTTTGATGATGGCTTTGTCCTGTTCATTGACGGTCGCTGCCTTGTTCGGGAGCGGGCTTTGTGCGGGACTCTTCACCCCCATCCTAACCCCCGCCTTCGCTGGGGGCAGGCCTTCCCCGTCGAGGGGGAAGGGGTTTTTGAGATGCGCGACAGGCCCTACGCTCTCCCTGAGGGAGAGGGAGCTTTGTGGAAGGAGTGGCGGCTTGGGCGGTCTTCTGGATTCCTGCTTTCGGAGGAATGATGAGAAGATGGGACGGTTCTTGGAAACGAAGAGGCTTTGAGTTGTCGTCTCGGTCTTCTTCTTCTCTCATCTCTTTGGCTATGGCTTCGTAGTCGGTGTCGTCGTAGTTGTCGTAGTCGTCGATGGAGGTTGAGAGACCGGCCTGGGTCTTCTTCTGGCCTATGGAGAGACGCGAGGATTCCTTGTCTTGCCAGTAGGCTTGGAGGTGCTCAGGCTTGATGTTGTCGTAGTTGGTGTCCCAGCCTCGGCGCAGAGTTCCTGCGCTGCGGACATGCGGTGATGGATGGTGAACTCTAGGTCAGGGTCGGGGTCTGACATCACTTCCAAAGAGGAAGCGGACGGTGTCGGTGCCGCGTTCGCTGTACTCTCGCATTCGCCTGGCTAGGTCTGTGTGCAGGGTGTCGTAGGCGTTTTCTTCGTCGTGCTGTCTGACTGCCTGCGGCGTGATCCGAGGTCTCCGAAGCCGCGGCGCAGGAGTTCTCTTGCGGCTGCCATGCGGTCTGCGGGCTTGATGCGGAACTTCCTGGGGGTGAAAGGTCGGTCCCTGCCGGTCATTATGTGAATGAGAAACTCTACGAGGGTGTGGCCTTCGGCGGTCTCGTGGCGGATGAGGTGGGCTATTGGTAGTTGAGGATGTCGAGGTGGGACACAGTCTTGCCCTTCGACAAGCTCAAGGCGAGCGGGTCTTTTTCTGACGTGGGTGGAGGGGATTCTTCATTTCCCCTCACCCTAACCCTCTCCCCTGGGGAGAGGGGACTTTGATTTGGCGATTCCACAAGTTCTTCGACAGGCTCGGGACGAACGGGTGCGTTGTCGCACTGTGTGTCGGTGAAGCCGTACTTGATCAGGTGCTTGGCGGCTTCGAGGCGGTGGTTGAACTTGGCGTCTGTGTGCCGTCCCTGCATGTGTCGACGAGGAAGCGGCGACGTGGTCGACCTCTCTTTAGTGACGAGCTGATGATGTTCTGTTGGAGCTTGGTTGTGATGCACATTGGCGTTAGTCTTCAGTTATCAGTTCACAGTTGTCAGTTATGTTATTCGATGGGCGTGTAGCGAATGTATGTTCTTTCAACTGCCTACTATCATAAGTACGAATGTTTGGGTTGTCAAGGGGCATTCTAAGGAAATTAGGTTGTGTGGACATTTCCTATTTTTTCTGTCATTCCGAGTGAATCGAGAAATCTGAAGTCTGTGGATGGGGTATGTGCAGGGAGTTTAGATTCTTCACTCCGCTCCGCTACGTTCAGAATGACAAGGGAGTGGGCGCTGCTTTCAGAATGACAGAATAGGAGAGCCGTTAAGAATGACAGGATGGACATGCGCTCAGCCTAGATTGACAGGAAAGAACTCTGCGCTCTGCCCAGAATGACAGGAAAGGGTGCTGCGTTCTGAGTGACAGGATAAACCTGATTTCTGAGGACCAAAACGCATTGTGAATCGAATGTCAACAGAGCCTAAGGAATTTGGGATTTGATGAAAATTTGGGAACAAATTTGAGGTTCAATCGTTGGGTAGTAGGAGGGGGTTGAAGTGGAACTCTCCTGTGTTATGTATGGTAATGTTGGAAGTGAATTTGATGGAGGCTTGGATGATGAAAATGAGAACATTGATCATATCGTTGGCGGCTTTGCTAGTCGTTCTGGTTACGCTGGTGGCGTGTGGGGCGGCTGCGGCACCTGCACACGACGAATCTTCGATGTTTACCGCTGCGAGGGCTCACTCTGCGCCCCAAGCGCCTGCTGCGCCTGCAGCTGCGCCTGCACCTGCACTTGCACGTCAGCCTACGGCAGCACCGGTGGCGGCGAGCGAAAAGATTGTGGCGGTGGAAAAGGAAGTTCTCGAAGAGTTTGAGGTTGAGGGACATTCAATACCGGACGAGAGTTCAGAGGCGGTGAGTTCAGCGAGGAGCGGGCGGCGCTTGTGGCGCAGAACCGTATCATCGTGCGGACTGTACAACTCGCTCTTGAAGTGGATGATGTAGCGGATTCCATAGAAGAGATTTCGCAGAGTGTGCAGCGGGATGGCGGCTGGGTGGTCAGCACTGACCGAGCTCGAAGCATTACGGCTACATAGCAGTGCGTGTGCCTGCCGCGAAGCTGGATGATGCCTGAAGTGGATGCGAGGGGTGGGCGTGGATGTGCTGTCGGAGGCTTCCACGAGCACGGATGTTACTGACGAATACTATGACCTGCGCTCGCGGGTGAAGAGTTTGCAGGCCACGGAAGAGGCGCTAATCAGGCTGCTGGACAGGGCTGCAGATGTTGAGGATGCGCTTGAGGTGCAGCGGGAGCTTGCGCGGGTGCAGGTGGAGGTTGAGGCTCATTTGGGACGTATCAAGCTGCTGGAAGAGACGGCTGCGTTTTCGCTGGTGAACATTTCGCTGAATCTCGCGCCGCAGGATATGCGCGTTGACGCGGGCGAGGACATGACATTCAGCGTGCGTGAAAATGCGCGCTTCAGGGCGACGTTCTACCCGCCTGAAGGGATAGATGACTTTGACTTCGTATGGGACTTCGGAGACGGAACCCGGGTTGCGACAGGAACAGGAAGCGCGCCGAGGCCGGACGGAGGGCGAATTACCGCTACCGTCCATCACCAGTACAGCAGCGACCTGGAATCGCCGTTCATTGTCGAAGTGACCATGATCGGACTAGGCGAGGCGGGAATAGTCGAAGGATCGGACACATTTATCGCGACCGTTACGGAGCTGTCGGCAATCACCGTTTTCGCAGGTGAGCACCGGGTCGTCGAAGAGGGCGAGGAGGTGGAGTTCTCAGGGTCATTCACGAGACCGGAGGGGCTGAGGAACTACCAGTATAGCTGGGAATTCAGTGATGGGAGCGAGGCTGTGACGGGGGCTCCAGAGGAAGGAGCAACCACGGTAACTGCCACGCACGACTATGAGAACCATCGTCCCCAATCTTTCACGGTTACTCTGACTGTATCCGCTGATAGCGATGCCGGAAAAGTTGAGGGCAACGCTGAGATAGAGGTCTTTGTACAAGAATCGAAGGGTTTCGTGATTTCGGGGTGGAGCGCGGGTGACAATCTGAAGGACGCTGTGCGTGCGCTGTCGGGATTTGCACAGGTGGCGGGCACAGTGGGAATCTGGGTGATGATATTCAGCCCGGTGTTGCTCATTGTAGGCGCGGTAGTATACGGCCTGATGCGATTCAGACGACGCCTGATAGAAAGTTCGCGGCGGCGAGCGCCATCACGATCAGGTGTGAATGAAGGCTACCTTTCCACGGCAGAATAGGGCGATACGGAGGAACAAGCTGACATGGCGGCAGTTCGGCACTTCACGGCGACGGGGTTCGTGGTGCATGAGGATGCCACTCTGCTGCACTGGCACCGCGGAAAGTGAAGATGTGGCTGCCGCCGGGTGGTCATATCGAGGAGAACGAGGACCCGGTGCAGGCGGTGCTGCGGGAGGTCGAGGAGGAGACGGGCGTGCAGGTGGAGGTCGTGCCGACGGGAACGCCAATCGACCTAGAATACCCAGAACAGGTTCACGCGCCGTTCACAATCGAAATCGAGGATATTGACGACCCGGTGCAGGGGTGGCACCAGCACATCGACATGATTTACTTCTGCAAGCCTGTGGGTATCCCGAAGGCTGTCAATGAAGGATGGGTGTGGGTGAGCAAGGACGAACTGGAGAGCGGTGTGGCGCTGGATTCAGGGGATGGAGGCGCGGTGCCGCCGCCGGAGGACGTGCGTGTGCTGGCGGCGCATGCGTTCGAGGTTGTCGGTGGGAGTTGACGGGGCTGGCCGGGTAAAATAGAAAGATAGGATGAGGCAGGGGCAACCGTAAGTGGTTGCCCCTGCGCATGATGCTCGTTATGCGCCAGTTGCGAAGCCGGCGGATTCGATGCCCGGCGCGAACGCAGTCTTCGTCCTCCTGGGCTGTGCCGCCGCTGCCGCCTGCCGCGCCGACGAGCTCGCCGTCCTTGTAGATGGGGAGCGCGCCCTGACTGGGGATGAAGCGTCCGCCCTGAAGCGCCATGAAGCCGGGGAATATGGGCTCGGTCCAGCGGGCTGCCATGTCGGCGCTGGACAGGCCCCATGTGGCTGACGCGACTGCCTTGCCCTGCGATATGTAGGTGTGCGCCAGGATGCGCCGTCAACGCGGGCGAGTGCGATGAGGTCGCCTCTGCCGTCAACGACGGAGATGGTGAGCTTGACGCCGATCTCTTCCATCTTGGCGCAGGCGCCCGCGATTATCTGGTCTGCTTCTGCCAGTGTGAGTGCTGCCAATTTCTTTTCCTCCTGAGTGATAGTGCTTCTAGGTTATGTTGCGCTTGTTCTTCGTTCCGAACAGCCCTGTCATTCCGAGCGTAGCGAGGAATCTGTAGTATGTGCAACGTGTCACTGCAACGATTTCAGATTCCTCACTGCGCTGCGCTGCGTTCGGAATGACAATGAAAAGAACTTGGTTAGCAGACGGGCTTTGCGAGGACCGCGGAGTCGATCTTTCTGCGGAGGAAACGGCCGGTGGACGGAGTGCCGAGCAGATTGCGGTCTTCGACCATGACGGTGCCGCGCAGGATGGTGGTGACGGGCCAGCCTTCTATGGGCCAGCCTTCCCAGATGCTGTAGTCTTCGAGGTGGAGGTCGTCGAGGGCGAGAGGGCCCTTGATGCTGGGGTCGATGATGGTGATGTCGGCGTCGCTGCCGGCTGCGATGGCGCCCTTTTGCGGGGTAGAGGCCGAATATCTTGGCGGCGTTCGTGGAGGTGATGTCCACGAAGCGCTCGAGGGACATGCCGCGCTTGACGACGCCCTCGGTGTAGGCGATGCCCACGCGCGTCTCGATGCCGTTGTGCCCGCCTGTTACGTCTGCGACGGTCTTGAAGCGGATCTTCTCCTCCCAGGTGGTGGAAACGAGGTCGGTGGCTACAGTTGAGAGCCTGCCGTCGAGGAGGCCCTGCCAGAGCGTGTCGGCGTCGCCGGGGGACTTGAGCGAGGGGTATGTGTGGTACTTCATGCCGTTGTCTTCGCGGTAGTTTTCGGCGTTGAAGCAGGCGTAGTTGTGCAGGGTCTCGCCGTAGATGGGGAAGCCTTGTGCGCGGGCTTCGGCGACCGCCCGAACACCCTCACCGGCACTGACGTGGACGAAATAGACCGGACAGACCTTCTGCTGCGCCAGTCGGATTGCCCGGCGGAAGGAGACATCCTCGGACAGGTTCGAGTGGATGTGGTGCATGTTCCACCAGTCCCATAGATCGCGCTCCGGAGCGTGGTCGTAGTTGTACATGACCATGTCGTCGTCTTCGGAGTGAATCATGAGGATGCCGCCGTTCCCAGCGATCTCGTCCATGATTACGGCGAGCCTGCCGAAGTCTGTCTTGTTGTCCTGCATCTGAGGGCTGGGCGGACGAATGCTGGTGGTGAATATCTTGAAGCTGGCGTAGCCGTCTTGCACGAGTTCGCCTATCTGCCCGATTACGTAGTCTTCCGCTCCCCTGGTGAAGATGGGGTGGTAGGAGTAATCGGTGTAGGCGTTGCCTCGCCAACGATCGGCGGCCTCGCCGAGGGCGTGGTGGAGGTCATGGCCCGGGACCTGAGTTGCGAAGTCTAAGACTGTGGTGGTGCCACCATGGATGGCAGCGAGGGATACCGGCGCTGCGGGGGAGCGTTCGGACTGGCGGGGGCCGCCGATGTGGGCGTGCGGCTCGATGCCGCCGGGGATGACTATCTTGCCGGTGGCGTCTATGCGCTTGTCGGCTTCAAGGTCGATGCCGCCTGGATCGGTGATGGCGACGATTTTCTCGCCGTGAACGGCTATGTCGAAGTTGCCGACGCCTCCGGGGGTTACGACCTGACCGCCGTGAATGATGATGTCAACCATGTTCGGCCTCCTTTGAGCGTGCGTGTGCGGGTGATGTCGCTCGGTTTCGCTGTTGCCTATAGTGATGCCATCTTGCGTATGGCATTACTTGGGCGACGATGCGGCGTGTAGTCGTTGGAATAGTAAGAGCGGGCGGGCGGAGTGTCAAGGAGTGGCGTTAAGGGCTGTCGGTGCACCGCGGTGGCTGACAGGATGAGCGGAAAACGGAGCATAGGCAGTTCAACATTCGCTTGACAGGGTTTTGAATTCTCACTTAATCTCAATCTGATGGATACCAATCTGATGCATACTAGGTTGTGCTGACATTTTGAGGTTGTCTTTCATTACTATTGTCAATTCAAGTGAAGCGAGAAATCCGAAATCGGACTGGTGGGTGCGCACCGACTTTACCGAGAAATCCGAAATCGGGGACTGGTGGCGTGCAACGACTTTAGATTCTTCACTCCGCTGCGCTGCGTTCAGAATGACAGGAGGATGAAGGCGCTGGGTTCAAAATGACAGGGGACGAAGGCGCTGCGTTCAGAATGACAGAATAAACCTACTTTTCAAGTCTAAAAATCTTTGTGTAACAAATTTCAACACGCCCTAATTAACGACTTGCAGAATTTGCAGAAGCACGAATTTCAAGACTGATTGGCAACCCTGCCGTGGTCTTCTAACTTTCGCAGGAGTGACGACAGATAAGTCAGCAGCGGCTTCTGCAATGATTACCTCTATTTGGAATAATGTATTGGAGAATATTAATGACGCTTGACGCGTACATGAAGGGAGCTTGGGGACGAGTCAGGTCCTATGAAGCGATCCGGTCTGCTTCAGCTGTCGAGCCTTACGAGGGATGATGTTCGCGAATTTCGCAGTCTGTGGCGTGGGGTCGCCAGGGAACGCAGGCGTGAAGTGCTTGCGACGCTGGTGGAACTCAGTGAAGACAATCTTGAGCTGGACTTCAGCGCAATCTACCGCTCGTGCCTGTCGGACGAGTTCGAACTGGTACGAGAACAGGCGACTCGGGGGCTACTTGAGACGGACGACCGAGCGGTAATCAGGCCGCTCATCGGACTGCTCAAGGACGATCCCTCTGTGAAGGTGCGGGAGGCGGCGGCGATCACGCTGTCAAATTTCGCAGACCTGGCGCAACAGGGCAAGCTGATTTCACGCGACGCGGACCGCATACGAGAGGCTTTACTCGCAGCGATTGCTCGTGATGAAGAGGACATAGGCGTGCTGAGGCGCTCCATTGAGGCGCTCGGCAGTTTTGACACGCCGGAAATTTCGCAGATAGTGAGAGCCGCATACGACAGCGACGACCCCAGCGATGCAGCAGTCGGCTATCTATGCGATGGGGCGCAGCTCTAACAGCGACTGGATGCAAATAGTGCTGCGTGAGATGAATGCCGCGGATCCAGCGATACGCTATGAGGCTATAAATGCCTGCGGGCTGCTGGGGGACGAATCGACGATACCGCAGGTTGCCACGCTTATGGGCGACGAGGACATTGAAGTGCAGTGCGCGGCGGCAATCGCGCTAGGCAATATAGGGGGACCGCTTGCTAAGCGGGCGCTCCGACGCGCCGCCGATTCGGGTGAAGACGCCCTGATTGAGGCTGCAATGGAGGCTCTGGAAAACCTGGAGTTCGACGAGGATCCCCTCGACTTTGGTTTCTAGCGCACCAGTGGAGCTATGTCTGTCCAGCCGTAAGCTATTTCCACCAGGTCTGAGCCGGCGATTTTAATCACTGCACTCCGGCTCGTGTTTTCGCCTCCGAGAGACTCGTAGAACTGTCTAGCGCCGAGATTTGCCTCAAATACCCACAGAAGCATTGAACTCATGCCATCGTCTAGCAGCCGCTTGGTGACAGCAAGGAACAGGCGGCGACCCAGTCCCTTACGCTGGAATTCTTCGAGCAGGTATAGGCTGTATATCTCGCCCTGGTATGCTCCATCGCCTGCCCGCTCCGGTCCGCAATGCGCGAAACCTATGACCTTATCCTCGTGAGCTTCGGCGACGAGAAGGCTAGTTTTGTTGCCGATTGTCTCTAGCGTCTCGTTCCAAGTAGCCTGACTCGAACTGCATGAGAGGCTGGAAAGATATTCCTGTGGGACGATTCCTGCGTATGTGGTACGCCACGAATCCACATGAACCCTAGCGAGGGCAGCAGCGTCGGCGGGTTTCGCGTGTCGTATGCGTATGTTCATGTATCCCCAAATGCTGAATGAGTCTAGGGTTATGTGGGCATTCTGTGGTGGTCTCTCGCCATTTTCGTCGATTGGCTTCTACATTGTGGCATTTAGAGGGAAGCGAGAAATCTGTGATCGGAGACTGGTGGGTGTGCAACGAATCTAGATTCTTCACTCCGCTGCGCTGCGTTCAGAATGACAAAGTAGAAATGGCTGGGTTAAGAATGACGGAATGGAGATGGCTGTGTTCAGAGTGAATGATTGTGGGTGGGTGGGTTCATAATGACGGATTGGAGATGGCGGCGGAGACTAATGCTTAAGCCTCTTTGAATACGAGGGCGGCGGCTCCGAGCAGGCTGACGTCGTCGCCGAGTTGCGACTTTGCTACGGGCACTGCGCCCTGAAAGTGCGCCATTGCGCGGCGCTTGACCTCCGGTTCGATGGTGGGCATGAACATGTCGAGGTTCTGACCCAAGCCGCCACCGATAACAATGAGCTGAGGGTCGAATATGTGCATCAGGCTGATGATGCCGCTTGCGAGGCTGCGGCCGACCTCTTGCATCAGAGATTGCGCCAGCGCGTCGTCTTGGTGGGCGGCTTGCACGACAATGCGGGCATCCACGGCTGCGATGTCGCCGCCAGCGAATTCGATCATGACGCTTCTTTCCCCTGCTACTGGCCCCTGCCCCAAGCCGCTCCTGTGCCATACGAGCAAGCGCTGTACCGGATGCCATTGCTTCAAGGCATCCCACATTGCCGCAGTTGTCCAGAGGACCATTCTGGTCTATGGTCATATGCCCTATCTCAGCACCGAAGCCGTTTGTGCCCGTGTAGAGGTTTCCGTCGATGATGATGCCACCGCCGATGCCCGTGCTGACAGTCATATAGACCATATTGTCGCATCCCCTGCCAGCTCCGAATGCATGCTCGCCAAGCGCGCCAAGTGTGGCATCGTTCTCTGCATAGACGGGCAGCGACAGGCGTTCCCGCAGTATCGGTATTGGAGTGAAGAGATGCCACTCAGGTCCAAGATTCGGAGGATTGTACATTACCCCGGTGCCAGGCTCCACGGGGCTGGCAAGGGACAAGCCCACACCTTTGATTTCGGTTCGGCGCTCGGATGCAACATGCTCAAGCGCGTCGGCGAGCCTGTTCATCACCGCATCCCTGCCTTGGCGCGCCAGTGTTTCTGTGGAATGCCTGACCACAATGCCGCCTGTGGCGTCCACGAGCGCGACACGGGTCCGGGTGCCTCCAACGTCGGCTACGAGGGCGTATTCGGTCATAGATGCTCCCTTTCTTGCTGTGAGAGATGTTAGTATAGCATTCGTTGTACGGGGGCTGACATGGATGAACAGGATAGGAATGTGAGGCTGAATTGACGACCGTAGGCATTATCGCGAATCCGGCAGCGGGCAAGGACATTCGGCGGCTTGTGGCGCAGGGCAGATTCGTACCGAACCAGGAAAAGGTCAACATCCTGAAGCGCATTCTTGCGGGGCTTGATGCCGTGGGCGTGGAGCAGGTGGTGATGATGCCTGACATGGCGATGCTGGGCAAGGGCGCGCTGGACAATGGGCATTTTGGCCTAGAATTGACTTTCGTGGATATGCCGGTTTTCAATGCCGAGCGAGACTCGGTGCGGGCGGCAAGCCGCATGTCGGAGGAGGGCGTTGGCTGCATCATAACGCTGGGTGGCGACGGAACGAACCGTGTCGTGGCGAAGGGGTGCGGAGACGTGCCGCTGGTGCCGGTTTCAACAGGGACGAACAATGTGTTTCCGGTGATGACAGAGGGTACATTGGCGGGATTGGCGGCAGGGCTAATCGCGCGGGGGCTAGTGCCATCGGAAACAACGACAGCACGTAGCAAACGGCTGGAAGTGCTTATTGACGGAGAGCTCCGAGACATAGCGCTGGTGGATGTCGCCATATCCAGGGAGCGGTTCGTTGGAGCGCGCGCCATCTGGAATATAGAGACGGTGGACGAGCTGTATCTTGCGCGGCGCGGAGCCTGCGAGCATAGGTCTGTCAGCGATTGGGGCGCAGTTGTTGCCGGTTTCGATGACGGATGAGCGCGGACTGCACTTACGACTGGGCGAGGGCGGCGAGACGGTTGCTGCGCCGGTCGGCCCCGGAGTTATAATTTCGGTCGGCATAGAGTCATGGCATGTGATGGAATTCGGGGAGAGCGTTGATGTGGAGTGCGGCCATGCACGGTGGCGCTGGACGGCGAGCGTGCGTTCACCCTGATGCCGGGTCAGCGGGCTGAGGTTCGGCTGAGCGACAAGGGTCCCCGAGTAGTGCAAGTTGAAGAGACCTTGCGGGTGGCTGCGATTGATGGGGCATTCAGGACATCTGCAGCATTGGAGTAGGCAGGATGAAGTTTGATTCGCGGCGCTCGAATGTGCGGGCGCGAAACGGGATGGTGGCAACAAGCCAGCCGTTGGCGGCGATGGCCGGGCTGCGAATGCTGATGAACGGAGGGACGGCGGTGGATGCGGCGGTTGCGGCGGCGGCGGCGCTGAATGTTGTGGAGCCGTTCTCGACGGGTGTGGGCGGCGATGTGTTCGCGCTGGTGTGGAGTGAGCGGGCGGGCAAGGTGTACGCGCTGAACGCGAGTGGGCGGTCGGCGGCAGCGGCAGACACTGAATTACTTCAATCAACAGGGTACACAGGCATTCCGAACGACAGCCCTTACGCCGTAACGGTGCCGGGCGCGGTGAGCGGATGGCAGGCACTGCTGGACAGGTTCGGGAATATGGGGATGGCCGATGTTCTTCGTCCCGCAATCGACTATGCCGAAGGTGGATATCCGGTGTCGGAGATGGTCGCGCACCAGTGGGCGGGGGCGGAATCGCGGCTGAAGCAGCATTTCAGCGGCGAAGAACTGCTGCTGAGAGGCAGGGCGCCTCGTGCGGGTGAAGTGATGACTATGCGCACGCTCGCCGATACGCTGCGAACTATTGCATACGGCGGGAAGGATGCGTTCTATAAAGGCAGGATCGCGGAGCAGATTGCCGCCTTTGTGCAGGAGCGCGGCGGGTGGCTGACGACCGAGGACTTGGCGGAGCACGAGTCGACCTGGGAGGAGCCGATAAGCACAGAATACCGTGGCGTGGACTGTGTGGCAGTGTCCGCCGAACAACCAGGGTGTGAATGTGCTGCTGGGGCTGAACATCGCGGAAGGGATTCGACATCGGGGGGATGGGGGCGCAGTCTGCGGACCGGCACCATCATCTGATCGAATCGGTGCGGCTCGCGCTGACAGACGGGATGTATCACATAACGGACCCGGCGCAGATGCGTATGGACACTGGGAGGCTAATATCCAAGGGGTATGCGGCAGGTCGGCGGCGCTTCATTCGTGACGAACACGCGATGGCAAATGTGCCACTTGGTGCGGGGCCATTAGACGGCGATACGGTGTACATAAGCTGCGTTGATGGCGAGGGGAATGCGTGCTCGCTTATCAACAGCGTGTATTCGGACTTCGGGACGGGGCTTGTGGTGCCGGGGACGGGCATCGCGCTACATAGTCGGGGCGCGTCATTCTCGCTGGACCCAAGCCATCCGAATGTGCTTGCGCCGAAGAAGCGGCCGTTCCACACGCTTATACCGGGGATTGCGACTAAGGACGGCGAGTTGTGGCTGAGCTACGGCGTGATGGGGACGGTGCAGCAGGCGCAGGGGCAGATCCAGGTGCTGAGCAATATGATCGACTTTGGGATGACGCCGCAGGATGCGCTTGACGCGCCGCGCTTCAGCTATAGGCCGCTGGAGGGCGAGACCGGTCTGGAGCCGCGGATTCCCGATGAGGTTGCGGAGGAATTGCGAGAGCGCGGGCACAGAATTGTCATAACGGAGTCGCACCCGCTGTACTTCGGGGGTGGTCAGGTTATTGCGCGGGATGCCGAGAGCGGAGCGCTTACGGGCGGGAGCGAGCCTCGCAATGACGGGTGCGCGGTGGGTTGGTGAGGGTACACCGCCCTACTCTGCCGACATCGGCTGCGTGATGCGGCGCGCCCAAGGGGTTTCGGCAATTTCGCAGAGGGCGCCGCTGGGCGTTATGAAGCGGCTGGTTACCTGTCCCCACGGCTCGGTCTTGGTGGGCTGAACTACTTTGACGGCGGCATTGTCGAGATGCTGTGCTGCCTCTGTTACGTTGTCCACCTCGAAGGCTATGGTGAAACCAAGAGGAACGCGTTCTGCCGCGTCGGGGCTTGCCGTAGGTGGCTTCGCGCGGCTTCGGCGCGGGACCAGATTCCGAAGTGAAGAACGCCGGGAATGGTGGCGGTGCGTAGCCTTCGCCGAGGGATTCGACTTCCAGCCCGAGAGTGTCGCGGTAGAATTGGACGGCTGCTTCAAAGTCTTCGACTATCTCTGCGACGCCAGCGAAGTGCCTTATCATGCCAAGTTCCTTTCGTCTGATGCTTTCTCTTTACAGCAAGCGCATTGTTTGTCGTTCCAAGCAAAGCGAGGAATCTAGAGTCGTCGCGGCACTGCCGTGCAGATATTTTAGATTCCTCACCGCGCTGCGCTTCGTTCGGAATGACAGATTAAAACGGCTTTCTAATTCAGATTGAACTGCCCTTTTCATCAAGTTGTCCCTATTGCAGAAGGCCAAGGGGAACGGGCACGAGCAAATGCTTAGTCGTGCGGGTGAGCGTGGTCTTCCTACGACTTGAAGAGGGATATGCGATTGCCGGCGATGTCGTTGAAGATTGCTAGCGAGCCGAAGCCTCCGGGAATCTCGCTGGGTTGCATAAGGGCGGTTCCGCCAAGGCTCACTGCCTTGTCGAGATACGCCTGCAGGTCGTCGACCGCTACTGCGACGCCGGGAACGTTTGGCGGCATGCCCTCCATATGCTGGAAGATTCCGCCGCCGATGCCTTCGGGTTCCTGCTGGACCATACGGTAGGTCATTCCCCCACCCATATCTACGGCATTTATCTGCCAGTCGAACAGGCCTGAGTAGAAGTCCTCGAGGGCTGCCGCATCGCTGCCGCCGAGTTCGAAGTGAACTACGGGAGGGGCATCGCTCTTTGGCGGCATGTCGCCGTTCATTGCTGCGGGCACGGTGTAGAGGCCGATGGCGTTGTAGGCGGGATCGGTAAACATGGCGAACGAGCCCACCTCCGGCGCAATCTCCATCGGCGGCATTATAGTTGAGCCACCCTTTTCGGAAATCTTGTCCAGGGCTGCCTGAAGGTCATCGACCTGAATGTAAAATGTGACGTAGTTGCGAAGAGGCATATCCTCGGTAGTTTCAATGATGCCACCGCCGATGCCGCCCTCGGTCCACATCACCACGCCGTAGTTGCCCAACTCCGGGCCTTGCACCTGCACATCCCAACCGAACAGGTCGCTGTAAAACTGCTGCAAGACCGGGCCGTCGGGACCTGCGATTTCAAAGTGAATTACTGGGTTTCCCATTGTTCCTCCTGAATGTAAGAGAAGATGTGTGCTCTTCGGCACTCTTGTTAGAACAAGGTTAGAACGAACAGGTATTCGTGTCAAGGGTGTTGAGGGCAAGAATTGTGCAATTCTGCACAAGAGCGACGAATTTCAAGTATGAACATCGGCTGTATATTGTTACTTCGAGCGCAGGGACGAGTCAAAAGTCGTCGCACGTGCGCAGTAAATGGATTTCAGATTCCTCACTTCGCTGCGCTCCGTTCGGAATGACAAAGTTTATTAGCGTGTGTGGAATGACAAGACTTGTAAGCGCGGGCTGCATTTCAGAATCCGAAGGCGCGTTCGGAGTGGCGAAAGACGGAGGCTGAGGCGGAGGCCTGAAGTCGTCTCTACAACAGCATGGAAGCAGCGAAGGAGAGAGGGCTAACCCGAGGGTGATGTGGCGAGCTGCTTGGCGCGTTCGTAGTCGCGGATGCCATCATCGCGGCGCCCAACTGCCCAGAGTGCCATGCCACGATTGTTGTAGGCGTACCAGTAGTTGGAGTCAAGCTCGATGGCGCGGGTGAAGTGCATGATGGCGTCCTCGTAATTCTCGTTGTCGGAGAGTGCCATGCCGAGGTTGTTGTGGGCGTCGCGGTAGTCAGGTTCGAGTTCAATTGCCCTGTTGTAGTCGGCGATGGCGAGTTCCGTCTGCCCGCTGTTCCGATAAGCGATACCGCGGTTATTGTAGGCTACGGCATCGTCGGGTACGAGCTCGATTGCCTTGCTGTAGTCGCTGACTGCGAATTCATTCTCGCCACGGTCAAGGTAGGCGTTGCCGCGCAGGAACCAGGCGCGCGCGTCGTTGGGATTGGCGTGAATGGTTTCGGTCAGGCTGTGAGCGACCTGCGCTAAATGGTCATTGTCACTCATGGCACTGAGATTGGGATCGTTTTTCCAGTTCATAAGAGTCCTCGCAGTCAATGACGGGTTGAGAATGGGTTAGGGACTTTAGTGCTGGTAATTTTCGCCGAGTCTGAAGGGAAAAGGCAAGCCCGCAGACTTGCGCCCGCGGGCTTTATCAATTCTTGCTCAAGAGATGTTGGAAACAGTCCGAGTCTATCAGCACTGTGAGCGGCGTGTCACCTATGGGACTGTGACACTGCCCCAACAGATGACCGCGCCGTCGTTTCGTAGGGGCGCAGGTGTGGTTATCTCCACTGCTGATCTCCGTGAATAGGCCAGTCGTGGGCCGTGCTGAGACCTGCCCTTGACTGTCGCCATCCTCGTTGCCCCAGCACATTATTGAGCCGTCGCTTGCTAGCGCGCACACATGATTCGCGCCGCTGCTGATGGCGGTGTACACGACATCAGGTCTGCTCGGGGGTTCGGGTTGACTCCCCGCCTCGGTTATTTCAAATGTAAGCGTAAAGGCACCTGCGGTTTGTGCGTGATAAGTTGTCGCCTCTATTGTGTAAGTGCCTACTCCCAAGTCGTCTGATTCTATTCGCGAGTTCAGGTTGGCTGACGGCGTGATGTCGTCGTCGGAGTCCACTATTCCCCCTTCCTGCCCTCTGCCCCGCAGCAGGTAGAGGTAAGTGTCTTCGCTGGATTCTAGTGTGACGACTACTCTTGACCGCGCATCCAGATTAAAGGAGAAGTATCGGGCGTAGTAGTCGGAGTCGGCGGAGCCGCCTTCACCAGTGGGTCGCTTTTGCGAGAGGCAGTTGTTGGTCCAGGTTCCCTCGTATGTGCCGTCACCATCTATTGTTTCTAGGCAGTCTGTATTTGATGGCGGTGCCACAGTCGGTGTTGGCGACGGCGATACGGCTATGGGTGTTGGTGATGGCGGCACAGCGGTGGGTATTGGTGACGGTATTGCTACGGGCGGTATTACCGGCGGCTCATCGGTCTGGCAGTCCTGCAGGTTGAGCGATGATAGGTCGTTGAGCCTGACTTCCTTTAGTCCTATGGGTACGCAGCCGGTCAGACGATTACCAGCGAGGTAGAGTTCGTCCAGACTTTCAAGTCTGCCAAGCCCTGACGGTATACGGCCTGTGAGATTGTTGTTCTTGAGGTCGAGGACTTGCAAGCCTGTCAGCAATTCCAGGATGGGTGGTATTGTGCCCCTCAGTGCCTTATCCGGGAGGGAGAGTTCTGTTACGCGCTGTGGCGTGCCGCCGACCGTGATGCCCTTCCCAATCTGAGATGGGCGTGTTGAGTGCCCAGTTTAATGTTACCGTTCTTGTGAGTGTACTCTTTGCCGTGTAGAGCGCCTCGCAGTCAAGCACCAGGTTGGGGTTATCTGCCTCGCTCGGCACTGCACCCTCGGAGACGCAAGGGCTGGTTGGCGGGACTTCGTCCTCGCCTTCCTCGACGACGTCGGTCACCAGGATGATGACAGACAGGGCGGCGTCGATCGTGTGGTCGTCAACTACAGGATCTTGCCCGCTGTCGTGAACGCCGATGACTATCGAGTAGCTGCGCTTTGTCTCGTAGTCCAAGGGCGCCTTCGTGTGCAGTTGTCCGGTGGTGGAGCCGATGTCGAAGGAGTCGGAATCAAGCTTATCGAGGATAAGATAGGTCAGGGTGTGGCTGTCTTCGTCGGTGGCCGTGAATGGGTCGCCGATGTCGGTCCCGGGAGGCGTGTTTTCGACTATTCTGCGGATGCCGGTCTCGGTGTTGGAGAAGACTGGCGAATGGTCTGTCTGGGCTTGTGCTGCGAACTGCATCTGAGGCAGCAGGAATAACGCGGCGGCAACTGCGACAGCCAGCACTGCGGTCGCTGCGAGGGCTTTTTGTGATTTCTGATGCAACGGACCCTCCCTGATTAGAACGCCGCGCCTGCGTGGAGAGCGGGCGCGGCGACATGTTTCATACGACTATGACCTATTATTCGGTCACATCGGTCACGGTAACCTGCACATCCAGGTAACCGTAGTAGTTCCCGTACCAGTAACCGAGATCAGGATTCACTTCCCAGCCCAATACTTCAGTGTGATAGACGTTGTCCGCAGGTGAACTGCTGTCGGTGGGCATTTCATAGTCCGGCTGTGAGGCGAATGAAAGCACGGCATTTCCATTATCGTTTTTGGCAATGGTGAAATCGTCCTTGTCGTCTTCTTCGCCGTCCCCGGTTCTTTCCGAGAGCTTCCAAGAGAAATCCCAGTCAGTCGAATTCGAATACGTTCCTACGGCGTTGGTCCTGTCCTCCGCATAGGTAGTTTCTGTTAAGCCGATCACAGTTGTCTTGCGGATAATGAAGAAGAGGTAGTGGTGACCGGTGTGGTAGTCTCCCCGGCTAACGTTCAACAGGAACATATCAGTGCCGTTGGGATCGTTGTCGTCAAACTCAAGCTGAAAATCGTCCTCCACAGCGGCGGCGTCGGAGACGTTCACTGTGCCATTGATGTACCAGGTAGCGTATTTGCCTAGGTCAACACCGTCTTGAGTGACAGAATATACTGTCTTGGTCGAGCCGTAGTAGGTTGCGGAGTAGCCGTCATTAAGCACCGCCTTGAGCGTCGCTTCGTCCGCATCGCCGACATTCCAAATATATATGTACTCTTCGTGGGTCTTGTATGGGTGGAAAGCACTTTGGGCCGTGCCGTTGATCTGCAGCTCGGTTATTCCCGGCGTGCTGGAGTAGGTGCCGGCGATTGGCCTGAGCGATGTGCCGTTAACGGGTAGTTCGTAGCTTTCGACCTTGCGGCCGCTGTCGTCGTCGCCACAGTATATCCAGAGGGATATAGGATCGCCGTCGGATACGGCTTTGATCGTGGTGAATGTGACAGCCTTCTCGAGGGTAGCGGAAGCAAGTACCGCACCGAGGTGGACGCGACCGGACGTCGAATCCTGGGTGACGCCGGTGGGAAGGACTACGGTGCCTGAATCAATGTTGTCCATGTGGAGGTTGTAGCTGCCGGAGCAGGTGTCGGCGTCAACCCATGTTATCGTGAAAGTTGAGCCGGTGGTGCCGCTGTCTGCGATAACTGTTGATATGGAGCTGTGGGTATCTCCGCCATTGCCGTTTGTGAAACCCACGCGGCCATCGCCGCCTGCGAAGCCCACGCGTATCGAGGAGTAGTCGATATCGCCCGTGCCGCCGCTCGGCAGAATGCGTCCACTCTTGTCTGCGACTAGTAACCCAGGGCCATCGCTATCGTCGTCGCCAATCGCTTCGTCAATGCCGTCGAGCTGTAAGCCACCCAATGATGTTCCGCTGGAGTAGGACATCTGCTCGGGCCTGCGGGTAGCGGAGTTGACAGCAATATCATCTACTGTGGCTATCAGCCGGCCCGTGCCGTCGTCGTCACCGCAGAAGACCGACACTGACAGATGATCCACGTCTGCGGCGTCTTGGAGAGCGGAGAATGTTGCGGAGACTTGCGTCGCCGTCGATGAAGCTGACGCGGCGTGAATGCGACCGGAATCGTCGGTGGTCGCACCATCGGGCAAGCTAACTGTGCTGGTGTCCACACCGTCGATGAAGATGTTGTAGCCGGCGGTGCACTGCTGGCTGTCATCCCAGGCGGCCGTGATGGTGGAACCGGCGTTGCCGTAGTCCAGCACCAGGACTGTAATGTTGCCGGATCCATCCTCTCCCGTCTGGGCTTCAGCAGGGAGCGTTGCAGCGAAGCCGACGAATATTGCGGCCGCCACCGCGAAGACTATTAGTTTCGTCCCTATACCTAGTTTCATAGCTACCACACCTCGCATTCGTCAGTTCATCAAAGCGCGTATTATCGCGCCGCCGTGGGAACTACTATTGTGGATTCCGTCCCTATTTAAACACAGGTCGGCAAATTATTACCTAGTGATAACAATGTACTCAGGGTAAAGTAACATTCTACTCAGCAGGAAGAACCATCTTGGTACGGTCTCTCGAGTCTAGAAGCTCTGGTGCGAGAGTTAGGAAGGGACTGGTTCATATGCTACTTGTGGGGGATTAAGTGTTTATGGCAGCGATCGACGCGCGGAGGATTAGTAATTCTGTCGAGGGGTTGACGGCTCAAAAGGTCAATTGAAGTAACATGTTGGGCCACCGGGTCTATCACTAGATAGCCAGGCTCTGGCTCCTTCGAGCTCGCAGTGCGCGGCACGCACACAGCATCTGCACGATATCATGGCAAGCATCAGCGAGACGCTAGTCAAGAGGTATCCTGCGCAGTCGTCGCGAAGGACATCGCAGCCGTTATCAGGTCGATTGGACGGCAGCCCAATGGCGCTCACAGATTGCTCGGACTGCGATCATCGCAATAACCGTAAGACCTCTGGGAGCAATCTCCTAATTTGCATCACGCGTCTTAGGGAGAGGGCTGGGATGAGGGTGAAAGCCGCCGTTTCCTGATTTGGCTGTTGGAAGACCAGTCAGCGCGATCCGACTAGCTCACCCGGCGACTCGAGGCTTGCCTTAAGAGTGCGCATGAACTCTGCGACCGGCACCCCGTCCAAGGCACGATGGTCGAAGGTGACGCTCAAGTGCATCATCGACGCGCACGACGATCTCGCCATCCACGACGACCGGCTTCTCAATGGCCCGACCTAGCCCCAGTATCGCCACCTGCGGTGGGTCTATGATCGGAGTGAACACGTCGATGTCGTAGTTGGAGAGCGCGGTCACTGTGAACCCCGCGCCCGTCATGTCATCAACGCCAAGCGCGTTCTTTCGGGTCTTGTCTGCGAGCGTGCGAATCTGCCTGGCAATGCCCAGCAGATCCAGCGAGTCGGCTCCTCTGAGCACCGGCACAACGAGACCGTCCGGGACGGCCACCGCGAGGCCGATGTTGACCTCCTTGAGCAGCAGCACGTTGCCGTCTACCAGGTGAGCGTTGAGCCTCGGGTGCGCCTTGAGCGCCCATGCTACCGCCGCGATAATGAAGTCCAGGTCCAGCGGCCGAATCCGGTGTGGTCGCCACTCGCTGACCAAAGACTCGCGGAGGTTCAGCAGCTCGGTGACGTCGGCCTCGGTGGTGAGCGTCACCTGAGCCATCGTGCTGACACTCATGGTCATGCGGTCCGCGATGATCTTGCGAAGGCCGGTCAGCGGCACAACCTCGCCCACGGCGTCGGCGCGCGCTGCCACGGCGTCCCGCTCGGCGATGGCCCGCTCCACGTCGACGACTGTGATCCGGCCGTTCGGGCCGGACCCTGCCACGTCGGTGAGATCGATGTCCTCCTGTCGAGCTAGCATCCTCGCTCGCGGGACCACCTGGACCTGCGGCCTGCTCTGCCTAGCATCGATGGCGGCGCGAACGTCCTGTTCGGTGATGCGACCACGCGGCCCGGTGCCGCTGATCCCGTCAAGGTCGATGCCGTTGTCCCGGGCTAGCCGTCTCGCAACCGGCGTTACTTGGCTGGCCGCGGCTCCTGTGGGCCGTACGTCCCTCTGCCGTTGGCGTCTTCTAGCACCAATGGGCGACGGTGCCGCCTTTGGCTCAGGCCGAGGCGGGTTCTCGCCTGGCTCTCCGATGACTGCCACCAACTCGCCGACCTTGACCAGCGAGCCCTCTGCGGCCATGATGTGCGATACGACGCCAGAGGCGGGAGATTCCAGCTCAGAGTTGATCTTTGCCGTCTCGACCTCTACCAGCGGCTGTCCCTCGGCGATCTCGTCGCCCTCGTTGACGAGCCATCTGGTCAGCGTCCCGTCTTCCATGTTCATGCCCCACTGGGGGAGCAGCACGTTTGTAGCCATGAGTATCCTCCGGTCAGTCGCGGGCAGAGCGCGTGGACGTGGCAGCTAGTCCAGAGTGGCGTAAATGGCGTCGGCTATCTTCTCCTCGTTGGGGAACACCTCGGACTCGAGAGCCGGGCTGAACGGGAAGTGGCAGTCGAGGCTCGTGACTCGCTGGATCGGACTTTGGAGGCTCCAGAAGCCATCCTGAGCGACCATCGCCGAGATTTCGGACGCGACGCTGCAGCTCTTGTGAGCCGGGTCCACTATGACCAGCCGGCCGGTCTTTTCAACCGAGTCGAGAATGGTCCTGGTGTCCAGGGGCACTATGGTGCGCGGGTCGATCACCTCAACAGAGATGTTCTCTGCGTCCAGCGCCTCTGCGACAGCCATCGCGCGTCGCAACATCCCCGCCATCGCGACGACGGTGACGTCAGAGCCTTCATTCTTGACGTCTGCCACGCCGAACGGGATAGTGAAGTCGTCATCCTCTTCAACCTCGCCGCGGGTCCCGGTGAGGTTGTTGTCCTCAAAGAACATGACTGGGTCGTTATCGCGGATTGCAGTCTTGAGCAGCCCCTTGGCGTCGGCAGGGGTTGTGGGTATAGCTATTTTCAGGCCGGGCATATTCATGAGCATGGCGTATGGCCTGTCGGTGTGGTGAGCCGCGCTGTTGGCACCGTAGATCATACCGCACCTGTACACGACAGGCAGGCTCACCTGGCCGCCGAACATGAAACGCATCTTAGCGGCCTGACTTATGAGCTGGTCCATTGCCACCCAGAGGAAGCTGGCGAGCGACTGGACGATGGGCCTCATGCCCACGGCGGCAGCGCCGACTGCGGCACCCATGAATCCGTTCTCGGACAGCGGGGTGTCGATGACGCGGTCGCCGAACTCTTGGGAGAGGCCACCAGTCACACCGTAGATGCCGCCGCGAATGCTTTCGCCCATGATGAATACTTTCTCGTCGCGGCGCATCTCCTCTTTGATAGCGGCGTTCAGCGCATCTGCGTAGGTAATCTCAGGCATTGCACATGTCTCCTGCGTCCTCTGTTTACGTGACGCTATTCGTATCTAGTTGTACACAGGCAGGGGGTCGGCGTACATGTCGGTTAGAAGGTCGTCTATCTCGGGGTACGGGCTCTCGCGTGCGAACTGGAGAGCTTCGGCGATCGTCTCCGCCACGTCGTGGCGGACCTCTTCGATCTCTTCCTGCGAGGCTATCTCCTGTTCGACGAGCCACTGAGAGTGGACATCGATGGGGTCGCGCTCTCGCCACGCCGCGACCTCTTCTTCCGACCGGTAAGACTCGCGCAGGATGCGGACCAAGCCCTCAGAGTGGTCTTCGTACCGGTAGGTGCGGGCCTCGATGAGTGTCGGGCCCTCGCCGGCGCGTGCCCTTCTGACGGCTTCGGTGGTGACCTCATACATGGCCATCGCGTCCTGTCCGTCGACGAGCAGGCCGGGCATGTCGTATGCTGAGGCGCGGTCGATATGTTCTCCACCGCGACGGAATCTTTGAAACTGGTGGTCACGGCGTACTGGTTGTTCTCGCAGAGGAAGATGACGGGCAGCTTCCAGATGGAGGCCAGGTTCATAGCCTCGTGACACGCGCCCTGGTTGCTGGCGCCGTCGCCGAAGAAGGCGACGACAACACGGTCGTTGCCCTGCATCTTGCTGCCCATAGCCGCGCCGACGGCGACCGGAAGGGCGGAAGCGACGATGCCGGACTCGCCGAGAATTCCAATATCAAAGTCGGCAAGGTGCATTGAGCCGCCCTTGCCTTTGCAGTATCCAGTGGCCTTGCCGAGAAGCTCGGCCATGGCACGCCGGACATCGCCGCCCTTGGATATGGGGTGGCCGTGAGAGCGGTGGTTGCCTGTGATATAGTCGTCGTCCCGCAGAGCGGCACAGGCTCCGACGGCTACGGCTTCCTCACCAATGTAGCAGTGGGCCATGCCCACGAGCTCGCCGCGCTGGACGAGCTGCTTGACGTTCTCCTCGAACTCGCGGATCAGCATCATCCGGCGGAGCATGAGCATGTAAAGGTCTCGTTCCTGGTCCATTTTAGCCTCCACTGATGTAACGGGCCTCGCGGGAGGCCGTAAAAACCACACTTCCAATGACCGTAGGCAGGCACAGGGCACTCGGAATGGTGCCCGGTTGTCATGGGCGCATCTTATTACAAAGGGTTGGGTGGCGGCAATAGCTGGGTAGCTATGAAGCCGGTGGCAGATTGGCAGGAGAGCTCCCGGTTTATCCACGAAGGGCACGAAGGAATACGGCTTCGGTCATCGAGACGACAAGTGGTGGTATGACTGCGTCCTTGGCTGTCTGCCTGATAGTGGCGAGCTAGTGGACCTGATGATGCCCGGCTGGGCGCAGAGCGAAGGTCTGCTGATAGAGATCAATGCCGCGGAGGATCTAGGCGTCGGGATAACCTACCTGGAACCAGCGGAGAAGTTCATCGGTCTGACGCCGGAGCAGAGCGTGGAGCTGCATCGCAGGCTGTGGAGCTGACCTTCGGCACACTCTTCGCAAGGGTGAGAGGTCAGGAATGCACACCCGCGACAAAGCCAATTACACAAGGCTAAAATCTTGGTTGCCGACACGGAAAATTACTCGGAACGGGCCATTTTCAGGCCTATCTGAACACAGTATAATTGCCTGATAACGAAGATGTAAAGTTCGGAAAATGACACTTCAGACACACGAGATAATGCACCGACCGTTCTTACAGAAGAGCAGCGTCGGCGAGGTGCTCCGCTTCAGGCGTGTCGAGGCAGCTTGGATATGGCTCGTCTGAAATAGAATCGTGTGTACCTGAACAGAGAGTGGAGGGATGTCAGATGGATGAGTTTATGAATGCGGCTCTGGACGAGGCGCGCGCCGGCGCGGCGGAGGGCGGAATCCCAATAGGCGCCGCGCTCGCGGACGGCAACCATCTGTGGCGACCGGTCGAAATCGCAGACTGCAAGACTCGGTCTCCATAATGCATGCCGAGATAAATTGTCTCTATAATGCGAGCCGCAATGGCGTGCAGAGCTTCCGTGGAATGACAATGTACTCCACGCTCATACCCTGCCATATGTGCGCGGGAGCGATCGTGCAGTTCGGCATAACGAGGGTTGTCGCCGGGGAGTCCAGTAATTTTCGGGAAGCGAATGGACTCGGGACATTGACGCGGCACGGCGTCGAAGTCATCGATCTGGACATGGATGACGCCAAGCAATTGCTGGGTCGATTCATCGATGCGAAACCGGAGCAGTGGAACGAAGACATTGGTAGGTAGAGTCCGCGGTGGGGTTGTGCTCCATTCGAGGTGCGATTCGCAACGCTACCGGCTGGTCGCGTTCGGACAGTCGGGGCGCCAGTGTTTTCACCCATTAACGAGCTGATCCTTTCTTCCTGCTTCGATACCTAACGCTCCCAATTAAGACAGCGGTGCCACGACAAACAACAGGATTGCTGCTGCTTGCCGTGTTTCGAGTTCGACCCGACCAGCAGGGCCGTGGTGGTACACCCACTTGTCGGTCGGTTTGAATCTTCTACTCAGTTGCATCCAAATCGACTGCGCGCGAGAACCGTACCCTTCTGGATTGATTGGAAGACAGACAACTCATTATCTGCTTTGATTAACTCCGTCCTCCACTTGTGTCCCTAAAAGAAACCGGGGTCTCGACCAGCTGAACGAAACCCCGATACTTCAGGACGGTGAGGATACACCTGTTGTGTAGGCGGCAGCCACTAATGGTTATGGTGGTTGGCCTGTTCCCGGTGTTGCCGCAGCAGGTCCTTGCCGTAGTCATTGCCGTTGGGAGTCCGCACCACGGTGTGGATATGATTTCGCGAGGGTTCGTCGTTGTCCAGGAAGATACCATTCTGGTGGTCGAACTCGATAAGAATCACCGGGCTGTGCACCCGGTAGTAGAAGACGCTGTCCTCATCAGTGCCGCCCATCCACGCAAAGTGAGTCTCGTCGAGATGCTGCCTTATCTCGTCCATTTTGAGCTGGGCGTGACCGGAACGCATTCGGTTGATATAGGTGCCGATCAGATTGAACATGAGGGCTTGCTGATGGCTGGAAAGGTCATCAAACTTGATGCCCTCAAAGCGCATCTCAAAATTATCCCTGAAGGCGCCGGTGAAGATGCCGGAGGGGACTTCATCAGAGACTATCGCCTTGCTTAGCTGCTTTGCGGATAGCGTACGGGCAAGATTCAATGCGGTACTCTCTTCCGCCTGGAAGACCCGCGTTCCGGCGTGCTTACCAATGTCTACAGCCACCGGCTCGGAACCCATGAACATAGGGGTCATTACCATTTGGCCTCCCAACAGGAAGCAGTTGACATTCAGATGATGGCCGTCAAACTGCCAGCCCCACGGCTCATCCAGGGAAGGCTCGCCCAGGACGCTCAACCAGTACAACCATTCACCCAGTTCCTCATCGCTGCCAGTAATCTCCTGGATGGAATCGTTGAGTTTCATAATGTTGCGTGCCAATTCGAAGCCGCTGTGACTGAAACCTTCCCGCAGCAGACCGAAAGCAGTTCCCGCTGGTCCTGGGTCATAGGCTCCATCATCGCACCGTGGCGCATCAGGAAAGCGTGAATATTGCTCCAGCGGCGCCAGGCATCGCTGTCCACGGGAAAGAGGGCGGCATCGCGCTGACCAGGGTCAACGGAATCCAGCCAGGCTTCGGCGGCCCGTTTCATCCCCTTATTGGACAGGCCGGTCTTTCGCAAGGTAAACATGCCTGGGACTACTTGGCCATCGGTAGTCAGTCCCTTGAAGGGTTCGGCGATCTGCGTCTCGGCATCTCGAATGTTGTTTGCCATCCGCTCCGGCATATCAGGAGCCAGCCTTCGGCCGGAAACAACAGGACGGTTTCGTATCCTAAGATCCTTGAGTTGCAGTGTCATGAGTATCAGCCTCCTTGCCGAAGATGACCAATAGTATTACGGGGACCGCTTCTATGTCTGTTTTCCTTCAGGGGACCGAGCGACTTCCCCAGGTGATTTGCAGATTTCTGGGTGGATTTCTGGGTGTTAGAGCGGATAATTCTTACCTACCCTGCCGACTGCCGAGTCCGCTATTCAGGGTTTGTGAACGCTCTTCGACGCTGAAGTCATTGCTAGGGGCGTTGGTTACCGGTGGCCTCCACGTACAACGAATACAGCGACTGGCTGCAGGTCATAAACAAACGGTTCTTTTTGACGCCGCCGAAGCACAGGTTCGAGCAGGGCTCCGGAAGGCGAATCCGGCCAATCAATTCACCGCCGGGCGTGAGGCAATGCACGCCGTCCTTCCCTAGCCCGGCCCAGCCCACACTGGACCACAGGTTGCCGTCGCGATCAGTTCGCATGCCATCGGCGAATCCGGGCGCCATATCGGCGAAAACCTGGCCGCCCCGTAGCTTCCTGCCGTCCACTACCTCGAAAACTCGGATGTGCCCCGGTGCATCGGGATCGTGAGAGATACCACTGTCGGAAATGTAGAGCAGCGACTCGTCAGGGGAAAAGCACAACCCGTTGGGCATGACCAGATCGTCCGCTACCACCGTGGCTGCACCGGTGACGGTATCCAGTCGGTAAACCCGTGTGGGCAGCTCTGCCTCAGCCCGCTCTCCCTCGTATCCCATCAGAATTCCATAGCCGGGGTCAGTGAACCATATGGCTCCGTCGGAATGAACAACCACATCGTTGGGGGCGTTGAGGCGTTTGCCGTCGAAGCGGTCAAGCAACACGGTGATGCTCCCGTCGTGCTCGGTGCGAGTGATCCGGCGGGTCAGGTGCTCGCAGGTAATCAGGCGCCCCTGCAAGTCTCGGGTGTTGCCGTTGCTGCAGTTGGCGGGCTGGCGAAACGACGTGACCTTATCAGTTACCTCGCAGTAGCGCAGCATCCGATTGTTTGGTATATCGCTGAAGACCAGGGATCTGAAGTCGCCAAACCAAACCGGGCCCTCGGCCCATCGCGTTCCGGTAAACAGGCGCTCTACGGCGGCATTCCCGATGCGATAGGCGAGGAAGCGGGGGTCCAGCACCTCCACCGCAGGATCTGGGTAACGAACTATTCCCTGATCCCAGCGTCGGCTCAGTTCAGGAGTCCATTCAGAATTGCCGACCATTGCTCACTTCCTCAATTCATAGCCCTTGACCTGATTGAACATCCAGGTCCTGCATTCCCCTGCCCCACTGCGAATCCTGGCATTATATCCTACATCTGAGCAACCGAGTCTGACATGAGTGTCACACCGAGGCGACGCCAGAAAAACATAATTCTAGACGGCACTTAATCCCTTGGTGGCGAGTCAGGGTCACTCGGCAGGTTTCTACACTCTACGGCAGGCTCATGGTGACATCCATCCGGACTCAGGCGAACGGAGGCATTGAAGACGTGATTGACCCTGCATGAACCTAATCTCAGGACTGTCGCGGTGCTCCAATAAGTTCCTGCATAGAAAATTCACGGAATCAATGCGGTAAATGTAAATCGTTTGTTCAGACCCGAACATTTCACCAAACATCCGTGGAGTGAACTTTTCGGCGTAATTCCCATTGTCGAAATGGTTCCCGTGCTGCGCCGTTTCGGCACGCCGATTGACGGCGAAGCTCAAGGCTCTAATCTAGGCTCATCAACATCTAAAGTTCAACCGCCTAAAGGAGTTTGGCATGACGACCAACATACAGACCACATATGAAGTCCAAATCGAAGACGTGGAATATCTGCGGCACGGTGATAAGCCCTTCCTGGCGCGCCTCTTCAAGCCCCAGGGCAGCGGACCTTTCCCGGTGATGGTCGAGTTGCATGGCGGCGCTTGGGTGAATGGTAACCGTGAGGATGGCAATGTCAGCAACGAAGCGCTGGCCAGTAACGGCGTCATCGTGGCGGCCCTGGACTTTCGCGTTCCGCCGGAAGCGCCATACCCCGCCTCCTTCGCCGACATCCACTATGGAATCCGCTGGTGCAAGGCGCACGCCGAAGGCTGGAACGGCATTTCAGATAAGATCGGCGCTATGGGCACCTCCAGCGGCGCCCACCAGGCTATGCTGCTGGGCATGCGGCCCCACGATTCCCGCTACGCGGCGCTGTCCCTCACCAACGGTGCGACCGAGGTAGATGGCACCCTGGACTGCGTGATCATGGTCTCCCCGGTGATCGATCCCCTGGGTCGCTATCATTACGCCAAGGGTCTTCGGGATGATATCAAAGCCCCCGAGTCAGTTGGCGAGCGTACTGCGTCCATGCACGACCTGTACTGGGTGACAGAAGAGGCTATGGCAGAAGGCGCTCCAGCACGAGCTTTGGCCGGTGGGGAGCGTACGGAACTGCCGCCCACGCTGTGCTTGGCACGAGCCTACGAGGCAGCGCACCCGCGCCCGGATCTTGACGAGTTCATCATGCAGTACCGCAAGGCCGGTGGGCAGATTGAAGTGACGATTTTCGAAGAGGAAGGCGCAGGAGTGCTGCGGGACCTTTCCACGGATATTGCACAGCGGGCCCTCGAACAGATGACAGCGTTCATCCAGCAAAACCTGACGTAGCCGGGCCAGCCCCAAAATACGTAGGCAAACAGTGACGGCGGACCGGCCCAAGGGGTTGAGTCCGCCGTCGCATTACAGAGAGACGGCGGTTCGGTGCCCCATCGCGGGCCCGAAAGAGGAACAGAACATGGCCACATAGCTACGGGAAGTGGCTGCCCTCGACTTTCTTCGCAAGGAGGACGCCGAGGGATCGGACTCGGCCAATCCTCACCGCAAGGACACATGGTATGGCTGGCCCAGCAAACGGGTAGAACCGGTAAATCTGCTGGGCGACGAGGGAAGGACCAGGCGGGGCAGACTCCGGTGATGGGAAGGAAGGATTCACTCCTCTAGAAGTCCGTGCAAGGCAGTATGGTCTCGATCCACCTGAATTTGGTCGGTCTCCAGATAGCTTACCCACTCATGCATAAGAGTTCTGCGCTGCTCCAGCAGATCACTGCGCATGTATGCTTGCTCCACTGCACTACCGACTGAGTGCGCCAAAGCCAACTCCATGGCAGCGTGGCTTGCAGACGTCCTTCGGCCGCCCATATCCTAAATGAACTGCGAAAGCCGTGAAGCGTTGCCCTATCCCCCAGTCCACTGCTCCGAAGCAGGTTCGTGAGTGTAATATCGCTTAGCGGACGATCTTGTCTGACAGGCGAAGGGAACAGCAATCCTGAGCCATCAGCAGTTGCCGCTGCCGCATCAACTACACTCAGCGCCAGGCCGGACAGCGGTACGCGATGCTCGCTGTACCGCTTTCATCCTGTGTGACGGAACGGTCCAGACCTCCGCCTCCCTGTCAATCTCATCCCAAGTTGCTAGCCGTGCCTCTCCGCTGCGACACGCGGTCAACACAACGAAGCGAAAGCATAACTTTAGCGGACTTCGATGCCCTTGACGCTTCTATCGAGCTCAACGCCGCAGGAACGTCCTGGTATGGCAGCGAACGATAGTGTGCCTTAAATCTTTGGCATTGCCGGAAGCGCGGCGTTAATCGCCTCACCCGCCACATTGCACTCAACATAGTCGTGTGCCATTCTCCAAGAAAATACCGACCTCATTCGCTGCCTGACTCGGCGCGCCGTCTCTGGCTTCGCGGTCCATATCGGTGTAAGGCATGCAAGTACATCCCTTTTCCTGATGGCGTCGACCTTCATGTCCCCTGTAGTTGGGAACACATGGGTTTCGAGCGTACTGATCCAATGAGCCGCGTACTTCCTGTTGCGCCAGGTTGGGAGGTTGATGCGGTGCACCTGAAGCGCAGCCTTACGGAATGTGGGCGTACTGCCCGCCTCTTCTCTGCGATAGGGTTGACACCACTGGCTACTGCTGACCTGTTCTGTCTCGCCAAGTCGCGCGCCTCAGCAAGACTCACGGTTGGATATCTTGGTTATCCGGGGAAGGCTTGGGGTATGTATTTGGCGGAGAGGAAGGGATTCGAACCCTTGGTGCCCTTGCAGGCACACACGATTTCCAGTCGTGCCTGTTCGTCCACTCCAGCACCTCTCCGCGATGAGGTTATTCAGATTTTTTGTCAGAGGCGTTGGTTGCGCCCGACTTCTACTTTTTCTTTCGCGCTGCCTCGTAGCTTTTTATGTAATCATCGACGGACGTTGAGGCTACCGTATCGGCTATCAGGTCCATCGGCAGGTCATCCGTTGTCTTGAAGCGGACACAGGATTTGCCCATGTTGAGCTTCTTGCCGCTTGCCTTGAAGCGCCGCTCGAATTCGGTCTGCGTTCCGTCGTGTACATAGACGCACATCAGGTAGAGTGACATGTAGTTTTTCTGGGAGGCGAGCGCGGCGTACATCAGCGGCTGATTGTTGTATGTCTTGGGGTAGCGGTCAAGGGGAATTTCCCACGAGATCATGCCCCAGTTCATGGATTCGGCGTAACCTTCGGGCAGTTTATCCAGGACAACGTTGCGCACGGCTTCAATCTGCTCTCGCCTGTCGGGTGCAAGTTCGTTTGAGGTATTCTTCTACTGTGGCGGCGTTGCTTCTGACCATTGCCCTGCTCATGCGTCGATGGAGACTATACAAGCATGAAGGAGATCAGGTAGCACTCCCTAGCATGCTCACGTAGCAAGGTTATCATAGTGTTGAGCGGCGTTCCACAATAAACTGGACCTCCTCAGTGTCTCCTCTGAGATCATCCAAACACTTTCGGGTGGAGGTGGAATCGTCGAAGAACATAGAACTCGTTTCTGCTAAGCGACCGACGCTTAGATTGAATACTGCACTTCGATCGCAGATGTAACGGAGAGGCGTGTGCCTTTGAAGCGCGGCCAATTGACATAGCTTGCGCTCATGAATAGACTTCGCTTCGGCAGACTCGAAACCGAAGAGTAACGCGAAGGGAGACGGATCGGCGGCTTATGTGGCAAGTTACTGAAGAGGACCTCGCGCATATCGCTACCGGCGCCGGAATACTTGGCACGGGCGGTGGCGGCAACCCGTACATCGGGCAGCTGCGGGCGCGGCAGGCGATACGGAAGTGGGGGCCTGTAACGGTGCTGTCCCCAGAGGAGGTTCCGGAGGACGCTCGCGTCGTTTGCGTGGGCGGGATAGGCGCGCCGACAGTGGGCATCGAGAAGGTGCGGGACCTCCAGTCTTACTACGCGCTGCGTGCCATTGAGGAGTACACCGGCGAAAAGGCGACGGCCTTAATCTCCAACGAGATCGGCGGGAGCAACTCGGTTGAGCCTCTGATTCCTGCGGCTATGGCGGGGCTGCCGGTGGTGGACGCCGACGGGATGGGGCGAGCTTTTCCGGAATTTCAGATGAAGACTTTTTTCGTTTATGGCGTGCCGTGCTGCCCGATGGCAGTTGCCGACGAGAAAGGGAACTCGGTTATTATCAGGGAGACCATAACGCCGCACTGGGCCGAGCGGCTTGCACGGGCTGTCACGATACAGATGGGTTGCATAGCCTGTTATGCCGTGGCTCCCATGAGCGCCGAACAGGTGCGGCGCACGGCCATTCCGAATACGCTGTCGTTGGCACGGGATCTGGGCAGTGCGGTTGCGGAAGCCCGCAGCGATGGGGATGATCCGCTAGATGCGATCCTCGCGACCTGTCCGGGCAAGATTCTGTTCAGCGGCAAGGTTATGGACATCGACCGTCGGACAACGGCCGGCTTCGCCCGTGGAACGCTAACGATCGATGGTCTTGACTCATTCAGCGGTGAGCGGATGGTCATAGACTTTCAGAATGAAAACCTCATCGCCCGTCGCGACGGCGAGATTGTTTGCATCGTGCCGGACCTGATTTGCGCCGTGGCAACCGATGTGGGTGAGCCGGTGACGACTGAACTTATGCGTTACGGGCTTCGAGTAACCATTCTGGGTTTTCCTGCTCCCGAATTGTGGACGACCGCGGAAGGCCTGGCAGTGGCGGGTCCGAGGGCGTTCGGGTACGAGACGGATTACATCCCTTTGACAGTTTGAGGCAGACGATATGTTTGTGGGCGTGGATGTAGGCGGAACCAATACCGACGCTGTGCTGATGGACGGGCAGGAACTCGCGGCAGCCGCCAAAGTGCCCACGACAGAGGATGTTACTACCGGCATCGTGAACGCGGTTACCGAACTGCTGAAGCAAGGCTTTGACAGCGCGGATATCGATGCGGTCATGGTGGGCACGACCCACTTCACGAACGCCCTGCTGGAACAGAGGGGCTTGTCTCCCACCGCCGTGATACGACTGGCGCTGCCTGCCACTCAACTGCTGCCACCGATGATTGACTGGCCGGACGCGCTGAAGGACTCGATTGGCGGGTTCACATACATGGTCGGAGGCGGCAATGAGTTTGACGGGCGCGAGATTGCGTCTCTTGACCGTGACGGCATCCGAGAAGCAGTGCGGGACATTCGACGGCACGGGGCGAGGGCGATAGCGGTGAGCGGTGTGTTTTCTCCGGTGGACCCGACGCACGAAAAGAGGCGGCTGCCCTGATACAGGAACTAGCTCCAGAAATGAGGGTATGCCTTTCGCACGAGAATGGGCGCATGGGGCTGCTTGAACGGGAGAACGCGGCTGTCCTGAACGCCTGCCTGGGGGATGTGGCTGTTGCGACTATAAAGGGAATAGAGAATGCGCTTGAAATGTTGGGCATTCACGCTTCGCTGTTCATGAGTCAGAACGATGGTACGCTGATGGATACGGAGTTCGCCTCGCAGTTTCCGGTACTGACTGTCTCATCCGGTCCTACGAACAGCATGCGGGGCGCGGCGTACCTGTCCGGAGTCTCGGACGGCATCGTAGTGGACATTGGCGGCACTTCGACGGATGTGGGCGCGCTGGTCAAAGGCTTCCCCAGGGAATCGGCGGTGGCAGTTAATCTGGCAGGCGTGCGCACGAATTTCCGTACGCCGGACATGGTGTCTATTGCGCTTGGCGGCGGGACCGTGGTGGAGCGGGTACCCTTGGCGCATGGGCCCGGAAAGCGTCGGATATAGACTTACAGACGAGGCGATGGTTTTCGGCGGCGAGACTCTTACGACGACTGACATTGCGGTTGCTCATGGCCGGGCTTCAATTGGAGACAGGCGGCTGGTGAATGGCTTGGAAAAATCGGATGTGCAACGGGGCATTGCCGAGATTGAAGCACAAGTCGAGACTGCGGTGGATCGCGTGAAGCTCAGCCATGAAGACGTGCCGGTTGTGCTGGTTGGGGGCGGGAGTGCATTCTGCTTGGGGATTCTATGGCTGGCGCATCACGGGTGCTGCGGCCTGAGCATGCGGGCGTGGCGAATGCCATCGGAGCTGCTATCGCGCAGGTTGGCGGTCAAGTGGAGCGCGTGTATTCGCTTGAAGGCGGCAGCCGGGATGAAGCCATTGCCGATTGCACCGCAGCGGCAGTCGAGCGCGCAGTGATGGCGGGCGCCGATCCTGCGTCCGTAGAGGTCGTGGATGTGGAGGAGGTGCCGCTAACCTACGTGCCGAGCAATGCCACACGAGTGCGCGTGAAGGCGGTGGGCGACATTGCGCCGGGCAGGTTGCGGCGCGGTTGAAGAGTTGAGGAAAATTCCCAGCCCTAGGGCCGCTAAATAAAGAAGAGAATGATGTTAATAATGGCTACCGGGATGAATGCCAAGAGGATAGCGAAAAAGGCACGTAGCGTGGAGGTGTAGTCGAGGCATTGCCGCACAGCAACAACCATTGCGGCGAATCTCCAGACGGACGCCACAAATACGATAATCGGACCCACTATAGGGACGAAAGCGAAGATATTCAAAATGCCAGGAGTTTGGGCGAATCCGGTGCCCCTGGCAAGCTGCCCCCAGTCGGCTTCGGTCTGTTCGGTTTTCAGAATCTTTGGTTCCGACGAGCATCACCAGCAGAGCCCAGAGAGCCCAGCTAAGAATCCCTCCAATCACTCCAAAAACGAGTGCGTCCAGAATGCCGGTATCGGCAGAGAGTAGTTGGCCAATTCCGGATGCGAGCGAAACGATAATGACTACGATAAGCGCCTGAATGGTGGCGCTGCTGTCTCTTTCCACATCTTCGAAGGTGTCAACGCTTAGGCGAGCTGCTCCCAACATCCTGCTTAGCATTTGTGGACCTCACTTCCCTCTCGCTAAAGTATTAAAAATACCTTGGAACTTGGCTTGAAAGTTTCCGAAAAGATGTTAACACATTGTAACAGGACTCGGTGAATGTATTGAGGCGAGGGCTTTGTGGTCAGCCCTGCGTTTGCTCTCGCTGATATATCTGATGCGATGACGGCAGCTGTCCACTACGAACATCCTGCCGTCGTCATCTAGCCTGACCGCTGTGGGGCCCCAGAAGTATTTTTCGATGCTGGCAGACTCGTCGCGCGTGTCGTATATGGTGTCAGGATCGAGATCAGGCTCCAAGTCTGCTTTCTGCCGCTCCTCCAACTCGTCGGGATTGACGCGGAAGTAGTCATCGGACCATTTGGACAATCCGGCGCTGCCTCTGAATGAAGCAAGAAATCTACCTTCAGGATCGAGTATCTGAACGCGATGGTTGCCCCAGTCCGCGATGTGGAGGTTGCCGCTATCATCCAAAGTGATGCCGGACGGCCTGTGCAGTTCGCCGTTTCCATTTCCTGGAGTACCGAAGACCTTAAGAGGCTTGCCATCGGCATCGAACTTCTGGATTCTGTCGTTGCGCCAGTCGGCGACATATACGTTGTCGCTTGAGTCCGTTGAGACGCCCCAGGGAATGTTGAACTCGCCGGGGGCTGTCCCTGCCCTGCCCCATCCGCCAAGATAGCGCCCGTCTGGCGTAAATCGCTGGATGCGGTTATTGAGGCCATCAGCGACCAGCAGGTTGCCATCGGAGTCGAAGGCGATGCCGGAGGGACGGTTGAGTTCACCCTTACCCCTACCCTGCACGCCCCAGCAATCTACGAAGCCGCCGTCCGTTTCAAAGATAGAGATGCGATTGAGCGCCTCGTCAGATATGAACAGGTTGCCTTCGGCGCTCATGGTCATAGCGGAGGGCCACATCATTTGGCCTTCGGCAACTCCGCCCCTGCCGAACTCGCCGTAGTAGTCTTCTTCGACCGTGCAGATGGATATGCGCTTGGAGACCATGCGCTCGGCGACGTCTGAGCCTGCGCGGTTGAGCACATAGAGGATGCCGCCATCGCCCAGCACGAGATCAACGGGGTTGTTGAAGCCGCGCCCGCTGACCGAAAGGAAGCCGATGGTGTGACTGTAACGGTAGTTCATGCGGTTACCCATTCAGTAGTTCAAGCCAGCTGATACTCGCGCGTGGAGGCGATAAGCTGCATCATCTCGATTGCGCGGCGTGTTGACTCGGCTTCGTACGAATCGGTATCGAAGCGAAGGTCTCCCTGCATAGAAGCGTGCTCGTCAAGCTCGCGCCGGGTGCGCTCGGATGGGAGCGATGCCACCCATAAGATCGAGGCAGGCGTCAACGAATTGCGTAGGAGAACGGCTGCCCTGCGCCCTGATTCTGTCAATGATGTCGCTTACACCCGACTTGCTCGCGTCTGAGAAGAGGTCAACGGCAAAATTGATGCGGTTGACCAGCCCTGCGGTGTTAATCCACTCGGTTCCGGTATGCCAGCCTTCTACGCTGGGCGGGTCCAGAATATTCTGTCCCATAAAGTTCGCCTGAAGTCCGAGACGGATGTCTTCCACTTCCGGGAAGTCGAAGCTGCCGCTCATGCGGGCGGAGCCGACGACCATCTCCACCGGGCTTTTCACACGGCGGAACGCAGACGTCTTGAAGAAGTCTGAGTTGAACAGCGTCCTGAGAGTGGAGCGGATGTCGTAGTCACTTTCCATCAACTCCGATGCCAGCAGGTCGATAGCGTCAGGGTTGTTGGGCGGAACCGTCTGCCATGCCGGGACTTGCGCCTCATCTTCAACGAAGAAGTTATAGAGATGACGCGCTATGAACCGCGCCGTCGCAGGGTTCTGGCAGATGATGTCAATCACATCCTCGCCGTCGAAGTCTCCACGCTCGCCGAGGAACGCCTTTTCGCCGTGGTCGTGGTCTTCGCTGAGGTATTGGAACTGCCAATCAAGGCGTCCGTAGGGCCAGACCGAATCGCGGGATACCCTCGACGCGTGAAGCGGCGCGTTGCGTATCGTCCAGCCGGTGAAGGCACGGGAGCACTGGCGCACGTCGTCTTCGGTGTAGTTGCCCACGCCCATGGAGAACAGTTCAAGGATTTCGCGGCCGTAATTTTCGTTGACAGCGTCCTTATGGTTGTCTTTGTTGTCGAGCCAGAAAATCATTGCCGGGTCGCGGGAAAGCTCGACGAGAAGGTTGCGGAAGCTCCCCAATCCTTTCCTGCGGAACATCTCGACCTGCTTGAGTATTGCCTTGGGCTGGTTGAGCTTAGTGTATCCTGTGGCAAAGATGTGATGCCAGAAGAGCGCTATTTTCTCTTCCAACGGGCGACGGGTGTTAATCATGCGGTAGAGCCAGTAAGCCTGGCAGCTTTCCACGTAGATGAGACTGTTCTGGTCGATGTGGTAGCGCCTTATGAGATCTTCATCTTCGAGGGCAGGTGGTGCGTCCTCCGGATGAAGCAGTTCTTCGACAGTTGCTTCGTAGCCCTGAGAGGCGTAGCGTTCAAGTTCCCGACGGCTTGCGCCAAATCCGGCGCGGCGCAGCAGATGCGCCATCAACGCGAGATTTGTGTCAGTCATGGCGTGCTCCCTCTTCTGCGCTACACCTTGCGCTACAGGCCGAATACGCTGATGTGCCCGCATTATACTCAACGCGGTTAGATGGCTCAACCGCAAAGCGGTCGCAGTACCACCAGGAAGATGCGGGCTTCATTCACCCGGCAGAGGCGGCGAGGCGGCTTAGCTGCGGCGATTGCCTAGAACTTCAGGGTTCATTACTCGCTGCGGGCTGCCCTCAATGAAGTTGCGGATGTTCTCCAAGGTCTGCCCGTAGAATCCGCGGTAGGTCTCCTGTGTCACATAGCCCAGATGCGGCGTCAGCAGAACATTGTCCAAGCTCAGGAACGCATGGTCAGTGGGCAACGGCTCCTGGTCGAATGTGTCGAGTCCGGCGCCCGCTATCGCGCCCGACCTGAGCGCGTTAACTAGAGAATCTTCGTCGATGATGGGGCCTCTCGATGAGTTGATCAGATAGGCGGTCGGCTTCATCAGACTGAGTTCGCGCTCGCCAAGCAGTCCCCTAGTCCGTTCGCTGAGGCGCGTGTGGATGGTAACGAGATCGGACTGTGCCAGCAGGTCGTCTTTGCTGACGAGGGCTGCGCCGTTGGCTTCGGCGTGTTCCTGTGTGAGATTCTGGCTCCACGCGAGGATGTTCATGTGGAACGCGCGCGCCACCTCAGCCATCTGACTGCCGATGTTGCCCAAGCCCAATGATGCCGATAGTCTTGCCGTCCAGCCCTGTTCCAACTGTACGCTGCCAAGCGCCGGCGCGAGTCTCCTGGTGTTCCAGAGGAATGTGTCGCAGGAGACCGAGTATCAAGCCCCATGTAAGTTCCATAGTCGCTCTTGACGAGCCTCCAGTGCCGCAGACGACTATTCCTAGATCTGTTGCAGCTTCTATATCGATGGCGGCGTTCCGCATTCCAGCGCTGGCAATGAGCTTGAGGTTGGGTAGCCGCGCAAGCAGGGAGCGCGGAAAAGGCGTGCGTTCCCGCAGCGCCATAACAACGTCAAATTCGCTCAGCTTGTCGGCAATTGCGCTCTCGTCAGTCAGGTGATCGTGGAAGACTGAGACGGAGCATTCGGGTGATAGCAAATCCCAGTCGGCGGATTGCAGCGCGATCTGTTGGTAATCGTCCAGCAATGCAACTTTCATATTTCATGCCATCCTTAACGCAAGTCTCATTTGCAAGAGATTGGATGCTCAGCGTGTCAGCTAGGCGTTTCTGAAAGGTCGGAAGAATGCTCTGATGTCTTCGGCGAGCAATTGGGGTTCCTCCAAGGCGGCGAAGTGTCCACCACTCGGCATTGGCGTCCAACGCCGCAAGTCATAAGAGCGCTCAGCCCACTCTCTGGGCGGGCGGCTTATCTCGGCCGGGAATGCCGCTACACCCGTGGGGACATCTATCTTTTCGTCACGTTCCATCGTCCATGTGTATCTCTGGTTTTCCTTATACATGCGGGTGGATGAACTGATGCTTTCGGTTGCCCAATAGAGGGTTACAGTTGTTAGCAGTTCGTCCTTGCTGAAGCGCCTCTCGACATCGCCTTCGCAGTCGCTCCAGGAGCGATACTTCTCAACAATCCACGCTGCAAGGCCGACGGGTGAATCGTTCAGACCGTAGGCGAGCGTCTGCGGCTTTGTGCCCTGGATGTGCGCGTAGCCGCCTTCTGCATTCTGCCATTCCTCTCTTTCGCGCATGTGTGTTTTTTCTGCGTCAGACAGCTCCTGGGAACCGTCGCCCAGGTACGGTATGGGCCTGGTGACGGAAGTGAGGTGAATTCCTATCAGGCTGCCCGCATGCCCGCGCCCCAAGCGGGATGTAACGCCGGCGCCGATGTCGCCACCGTGCGCGGCAAAGCGGGGATAGTCTAGTACTCCCGTCATGAGCTCATCCCAAAGGGCGGCGGTCTTCGCTACTTCCATGCCTCGCACGGTAGCGTGGTCCGAGAAGCCGAAGCCGGGCAGAGACGGCGCTACAACATCGAATGAGTCGCCGGGATCGCCTCCGTGAGAAGCGGGATCGACCAGCAAAGGGATTATCTTGTGCATCTCAAAGAAGGTGCCGGGCCAGCCGTGCGTAATGACGAGAGGCATCGGGTTGGGTCCTTGTCCCCTCTCGTGGATGAAGTGTATCCCCAAGCCTCCCACCGGAGCCTTGAAGTGGCTGAACGAGTTGATGAGCCGTTCCTGCGCGCGCCAGTCGAAGTCATTACGCCAGTAGTCCACGAGTTCCTTCATGTAGTCCATGTTGGAGCCATAGTCCCAACCGGTTCCCGGCAGTTCGTCGGGCCAGCGGGTGGCGTCGAGACGCCTGTGAAGATCGTCCAGAACATCGTCGCCTATATGTATCTCGAACGGTTCAGGCTGCATTTAATTCTCCCTGACAGGACCTGGGTAAAACGACGGGTAAAGGAAGCGCCGCGCTGAACTCAGAATCTGAGTGGACTCTAGTCCAGCAGGCATACCATATCACAGAAGGTGGGGCGAGCAAGTGGGAGTTTGAGGCGTGCAAGAACGCGCCGAAACTGAGGCAGGAGAAGGGGGTTTGGCTGACCGGGCAATGAGTAGTGAATGGGAGTGAAGCTGTTCGACTCTAGAAAGACTATTCCTAACTGAACTTTGCTACCTGATTTAGGTTTCTGCTTGAAATTGAACCTTCCTCATAGCAGGAGATCCAATCATTGGCATTAGGGATATTCACCATGTCCGCTTCTGCCCTTTTGGCATCTTCCTCAGATTCCCAATAGACGATGTCGGTGTAACCCCCATCGTCGCTCCTGTGAATTTCCCATTTGATTAAACCTGACTGTTTGCTCATCCAATTATTGTAAACGCCGCTCGCAACATCTAAGAGATTTTCCTCCGAGACGTTCTTTGCCAGCTTGTAACTGATTATGTCTTTGTACATTTCTGAAGTATTGGCTCAAACTTTCTTTTGCGAGGCAAACATTTTCTATTGGAAGTCGAAATTGGCGGGAGGATTCTCACGCGGGGCAAGTAGTTTGTGGCTGGCAGAGAGAGCGGGTGAATGTTCATCGCCATAAAGCAGTCTAACACCACTTAAACGACGTTACTGAATTAGTTTTCCCCACTATCTGTACCAGGTGGCATAAGCGTGATCCTCAGCCAACTCTTATATTATACCCTACCATCCGCAGATGGTCCCGATGCGATCAGTGCTTCATTAACGGAAACGCGGCCCGTAGCATGTTGCTGGAGCGATTGCGGGCGCCAGGTCAGGTCAAATGGGGGGAATCGAACTTCAACCTGACGCCAGTTTGTAGCATTTCAGGTAACTCGCGCTCAGGCGGGCCCTCAACACGAAGAGCGTTACAAGATGCGAGTCCGGCAGGATTTCAACAGCGCGGTTCCCTTCAATATATCGGGAGTGGTTTGGCGGCATGGCAATTTAATCTAGTTACGTTTTCGCTTAACACTCAAGCGGACAATTTTCCTGAACTTAGACAGATCTTTGGCACATTTCGATGTTGTCGCCAACATCAGTTTGGAGTGGAGAACCGCGGATGCGGTCGATCTTGGTGCTCCTTTGCCCGTGACCTAATCACGCGGATCAACTATCTGAACATAATCATCTAGCAGCCCGTTGCGCACGGCCCAGACCACGATGCCTTGTTTTGTCCTGATTTCCAACTTGTTCTGTATGCGGTATATGCTGTTTCGAATGGTCAGTCGCGTGTTACCAATTACCTCCGCTATCTGCGCGTAGGTCATGCCTGCGCGAATAGTGTGAGTATCTCCCTCTCCCTCTCAGTTAATCGATGCACTTCTTTGTCGTCCACTTGAGCCGAGTCGTGAATTGCCGCGAATAAGTGCTTTGCCGCGTCCGCCGGTATTCGAAATTCTCCACCAGCCACATCACGAACGGTCGCAAGAAGCTGCTCCATGCCTGAGTATTTCTGAAGATAGCCCGTAGCTCCGGCTGCGATTGACTGAACAAGCGACTCTTCCTCGTTGGACGCGGTAAGCATCAGTACGCGGGTATCAGGCAGCATGTCCATGACTTCTCTGCAAGCTTCGATACCGTCCATCCGCGGCATTATTACGTCCATGATGATCACGTCCGGCTTAATACTTTGGACTGTCCGCACCGCCTCCTCGCCGTCTCCCGCATTGCCCACTACTTCAAATTCTCCCGTCTGCTCCAGGACTTGCCGCAACCCGTCTCTCATGATTGAATGGTCGTCGACGAGCATAACCCTGATCCGTGTATTGGTGGACATTTCTCTAACCTCCACTAGTCGTTCCATAGGGCACGATGCAGGTCACGGTAGTTCCGAGTCCCGATGCACCCCTTCCCACCTCAAGTCGGCCACCCATTCTCTCCGCATCCGCTCTCATGTTTCTGAAACCGTGGCCTCTGTCGGCAAAGTCCTCCGGAAGCCCTATCCCATCATCTTCAACAGACATCCGAAGATTTTTCGTCCTAAATTCGAGGCTCAATGTAACACTCTCCGCGCGAGCATGCCGAAATGCATTCGCCAGCGCGTTGTGTGCGATCGAGAACAGCAAACTTCGTACGACCGTGGATAGTGGCGGCTCGTCGCCAGTCTGCATAAGCTTTGCCGGAACGGACGTGATGGTGGTGAAAGTTGAAGCATGCGCCCGCAGCACGTCGTTAGGTTCCTTGCCCTGAAATATCTGTCCCCCGTCTATCGGATGCCTCAATTCCCACATTACAAATTTCGATAGCTTCGCCGTCGCATCGAGCTTTTTCGATCTGTTCCCGGTTGGACCGATCCCCGAGCTTCTCTGCTGCCTCGATGCCCAGACCGATCAGGTATGCCCACTGCGCGGTGGTGTCGTGAATGGTCTGAGAGATCTCGATTCGCTGCCTATGAAGTTCTCCCTCACGCTCTACCGCGTCCCTTCTTCTTTTCCGTTCGACCCAGATGATTAGGTTGACTAAGCCCATTACGGCGTAGAGTCCACCCACCCGATAGAGCAACACTTTATCCTGGTCTTCTGCAAGACTGATACCTGGAGCAACCAGTGTGCACAGGGCCGCATATATGAGAGCCACCACAGTAACCCATAACACATTCAGACGCAGGGATGTGAAAGTTGTCGCGAAAGATGTCACAACAAAGTAATAGAGGACGAAGTATCTGCTGCCAAGCCCACCGGATAGTGAAGTACTGAAAGAGACGTACACCACATCCGCAAAGCTGAGAAGCAGGAGCCAGCGGGCACCAATGGCCTTGTTCGACCGGATGCGGTAATGCACATATCCGTTGAGTGCCATGGCGGACGCGACATAAAGCGTATTAAGGATGTGGCTGACCGCCCCATAGTCAACTCGATAGTTGACCTCTGCCATGACACCGACCAGTATGATCCAGCGGACCCAGATTGAGATCTGGGCGCCATGCCTTAGTTCATCCGGATCGCTCTCGATTGCACTCAGGTTGCGAGTGGGAAACGTGACGCCTATGGCTCTTCTAATACTCATGCATTAGTCCCACATGACTCATAGCCAACCGCGATGACGATAGGGTTCTTGGTCATTGTACATCGGTTCCAAGGTATGTTGGGATTGACCTCTCTCCAGCAGTTTATAGTAGCGTACACATCAGAGCGGTGCTTAACAAGATCGCAATTGTACAAAACTTTGAATAGTCATGGACTGTTACAACAGTACTAGAAGACTCCAGCCCTGAATGGAGCCTTTGCTGAATGCGGTATACTACGGCGAAGACCGCAAGGACGGCCGTTCCAACCGACTGTGTTCGCCGCTAGGTCAAATGGTATCGACATGTATCGCTGACCAGCTAGGAGCCAGCGACGGTCGTAGGAAAATGGGCCAAAGAGAATCGGCGCGGCGGAACACAATGGTGCGGCGAATTGCCATCGTAGGTGGAGGAGTTTCAGGACTTGGTGCCGCATGGGCGTTGCATCATCACCGGTTACCGCTTTAACTTCCGCCTGTTCGAGGCTCAGGAACAGTTTGGCGGAAATGCGGTTACAGCCTACATACCGCAAGACGACGGCTCATCAATTCCCTTTGACATTTCCGTCAACGCCTGTATCCCCTCTGTTTATCACCACGTCCTGTTGTTGTTGGAAAAATTCGGCATCGAATTGATCGATACCAAATTCAGTTACAGCGTTCATTACGGCGATGGTGTCTATGCCACGATTTCGATTCCGAAATCAGAGACCATTTGCAATTCGCGATTCAGGAAGGCATAGCGGCGTCATACTGCCAACGGCGAGCCTCAGGGAGTGGAGCTGTCGCGGTCCTCCGGATCGGGATAGAACTGGGCGCAGTAGTACCTAAAGGGCATGATTTTGCCGTCGGAACGACAAAGGAGCGAGCGCGATCTGTACTATTTGCGACTCCAGATTACCACATCCTGCAGAACGTCCCGTCTTTGCTGAGACGCCATTATCTTGTTCATGATGGGCGCGCGAAATCTCACTGGGAGAAACCCTAGGCCTGCGATCATTCGCTTCGGCTTGCGTATCTCCCGCGCCTGCGAGACCAGCGACAGGTCGATCAGTGCGCCGGCAACCGGCGTCGCCAGCACCCACAGGCGCAAGTCCATTCCTATCGAGCGCTCGCGGATTTTGCACGAACGAGTAGCCCAGCCCAACGACAGGGGTGCTGGCCGAGATGTCAAAGGTGAGGTTCACGATTCCGGTGATGGTTCGAGTCCGCTTAAAGTCGAAACGAGTCTCAAGACAGGGGCCCTCCACAGACACTTCTAAGACCGGGTCCACGTTGTCGTAGCCGTGTACATAGCGCAGGTGGGGCAGAACTACTGAGTTCTCCGTTGTCTCCTGCGGATGGCCGGGAAAGCGAAGGGTATTGATTTCGAAGTCACTCCAGCCGACTTGATCCGGCGGCTCTTCGGGAAGCCTACGCGAAGAAGTTTAGCTTCGCCGAATACACTTCGATTGCTCACGACTTCAGTTTCCTGACCAAGTTGCGTGTTTGAATCATTTCTTATACATTGACCAATATACCGCCCGGGACCGAGTCACGGTCGGATTCCACAGGGAGGAATGCGATGGTCGCGAGCAAAATACTGATGGTGGACGACGAGCCGGACCTCAAGCCGCTGGTCATGAGCAGGATGCGAAGGGACATTCGTGCCGGAAGGTATGAGTTCATCTTCGCGGAAGACGGAGTCGAAGCCGTAGGCATCCTGTCCAGCGACAAGGACATCGACATCATCATAACGGACATCAACATGCCTCGCATGGATGGCCTGACTCTATTGAACGAGATAAGTAAGATCAATCCGGATACAGTGGCGATCGTCGTGTCGGCATACGGAGACATGCCGAACATATGCACGGCGATGAACAGAGGAGCTTTCGATTTCGTAACCAAACCCATAAACTTC